ATTATCACTGGCCTCCTCGTTATTATGTATGTTTTCTTCAGGCTTATGATTACCTTTATTATTTATTTATTTATTTATATTATATATATTTTTTGGGACAGAGTCTTGCTCTGTCGTCACCCAGGCTGACGTGCAATGGCAATGGCATGATCTCAGCTCACTGCAACCTCCACCTCCAGGTTCAAGTGATTCTCTTGCCTCAGCCTCCCGAGTAGCTGGCATTATAGGCATGTGCCACATCACCCAGCTAATTTTTGTATTTTTGGTAGAGACAGGCTTTCCCATGTTTGCCAGGTTATATTATTACCTTTAAATAAAGCTGGGGTTACACCGTACATCCTATTTTGTAACCTGAATTTTCACTTCTCACAATGATGAAGGTCTCCACCTCTGAGATCCTAAACTTAAAATTATTGATCTTTGACTTCTATTATTCTAGTTTAACTTCTGCCTTCTCACAGTCTCACATCTACTCCCATAAGGGAGACTGCACTTACCATCTGGTCCTCTTGCGTTATATTTCTTACTATAAAACTACAAATTGGTACCTGGTTGCACATCAGTCTCTTAGGAGTTTGGTTACTGTTAGCTCTCACTGTGAGCCTGAGTGATCACCTCAACTGTCCTAGCAAAATAGGGGGGTTGGGGCCATCCAAAGCTGAGGATTTGGGCATTACGACCTAAATAAAGTAACGCAATACTGTCTGAGCAACGAGTCAAACCCAACCAGCCTCCTTCTCTGTCAACTTTATTTTTTATTTTTTTGAGATGAAGTATCACTCCATCACCCAAGCTGGGGTGCAGTGGTGTGATCTCGGCTCACTGCAACCTCTGTCTCCTGGGTTCAAGAGATTCTCCTGCCTCAGCCTCCTGAGTAGCTGGGACTGCAGGCACATGCCACCACGCCCAACTAATTTTTGTATTTTTAGTAGAGATGGGGTTTTTTACCATATGGGACAGGCTAGTCTCGAACTCCTAACCTCGTGATCCACTTGCCTCGGGCTCCTAAAGTGCTAGAATTGTAGGCATGAGCCACCGCACCTGGCCTCTCTGACAACTTTATTTTGCCTTCTTCAAGTGCCATGGCAATTATTGTAAGTGATAACTGGTATTCATCTTTTTTTTTTTTTTTTTTTAGATGAGTCTTGCTCTGTCACCCAGGCTGGAATGCAGTGGCACAATTGGCTCGCTACAACCTCCACCTCCCAGGTTCAAGTGATTTTCCTGCCTCAGCCTCCAGAGTAGCTGGGATTACAGGTGCCTGCAACCATGCCCAGCTAATTTTTGTATTTTTAGTAGAAACAGCGTTTCACCAGTTTGGCCAGGCTGGTCTTGAACTCCTGACTTCAGGTGATCCACCCAAATCGGTCTCCCAAAGTGCTGGAATTTCAGGCGTGAGTCACTGCACCCGTCAGTATTTATCGTTTTAAATGGCAAACAACTCTAAATGGCTCTGGTGGAGAGCAAGTTCAGACATGGTTGCTGGAAACTGGCTGAGAGTAGAAGCCCCTTGGAGTGTTCTTTGAAGTGCTGGCTTTAGTTATACAAAATGCTAAATTGCCTCTCCCACTGTCAACATAGCCTTTCATACCTCTTCCTGTTTATGTTATCAAGGAGTTAGTATGTAGACTTCAGAACTCAGTTTTGATCTGCTCTTGATTGAACCTTGGTTTATAGAACTATGGTAGTTTTTCACATCGTTGAGAAAAAGTTGAATGATTGTAACAATGGATTTTCTATGTATATAGATGCTCCTACAGTTGATTTAATTTTTTTTTTTTTTTTTTGGAGACAGATTCTTGCTTTTTCTCATGCTGGAGTGATCTCGGCTCACTGCAACCTCCACCTCCCGGTACAAGCCCAAATGTGGCCCTCTGTCAACTAGACCTCAAAGTCTTTGCTTTGTATGCATATTTCCAATAAAAAAATTACAAGGATTATTAAAAGTCCTTTTATTTTTACTTATTTATTTATTTATTTTTAGAGACAGAGTCTCGCTCTGTTGCACAGAGTTCAGTGGTGCAATCATAGCTTAGTGCAGCCTCCAACTCATGAGCTCAAGTGATCCTCCCACTTCAGCCTCCAGAAGCTGGAACTACACGTGAATGCCACCATGCCTCAGTCTCCCAAGTAGCTGGGATTACAGGCACCTGCCACCATGGTAATTTCTGTTATTTTTTTTTTTTGAGACAGAGTCTTGCTCTGTTGCCCAGGTTGGAGTGCAATGGCGCGATCTGGCTCACTGCAACCTCCACCTCCTGGGTTCAAGCGATTCTCCTGCCTCAGCCCCCCAGTTAGCTGGGATTACCCTGCCACCACGCCCAGCTAATTTTTGTATTTTTAATAGAGATGGAGTTTCACTGTGTTGGGCAGGCTGGTCTCCAGCTCCTGACCTTGTGATCTGCCGGCCTCGGCCTCCCAAAGTGCAGAGATTACAGGCGTGAGCCACTGAATTTCTGTATTTTTTAGTAGAGATAGGGTTTCACCATGTTGCCCAAGAGTGATCTCCAACTCCTGACCTCAAGTGATCTATCTTCCCTGGTCTCCCAAAGTGCTGGGATTACAGGCCTGAACCACCGCACCCAACTTTGATATAAATTTCTAAAAATCTCAACATAATGTGTTTGGCTCCCATTATTATGCTCAGAGTCAGGCACTAGCACATACTAGACCATCAGCTTGACTGATTTGAAAAGACCACTGAAATCCATGATTTGCTACCCATCCTCTGTGTCTGCTCTGGCCAATAAAAAGAAACTTGGATGCACTTAATTTATGAAGACAAGCATTTGTTGATCTGGAAGCTGAATGATAAATGTGACTCCGATGACACTGTACCCCTGTGGATAACGGCAGGCTGGGTATAGCATGTTAGCCGTCATATTCTGTGTACTCCCTGTGACATGGGCACTTCCCTTCCCTCTCAGCGAGGCCAAAGCAGAGGCACAGAAACCTGAACACAAACATGAAAAACACCTTACCACCTGGGAGTCAGGGGCAGGTTCGGGCACATCCATTCCTCTGGCATTTGAGCAGCTGTTTTCCACAACATTAACTTAGCACAGCAGGGGTAAATCAGATTAAAAACCAATAAAAGAGTAGTCTCTTCATCCCACCCTCAACTTCCTCCTACTTCACCAAAATCCAGTAAAATACTGAATGCGACCCTTTCTCAACTAGACCTCAGAAATCTTCTTTGCTTTATATGCGTATTTCCAATAAAAAATTACAAGGATTGTTAAAAGTCCTTTTATTTTTACTTATGTATTTATTTATTTTTAGAGACAGGGTATTGCTCTGTTGCCCAGGCTGGAGTTGAGTGGTGCGATCATAGCTCAGTGCAGCCTCCAACTCTTGAGCTCAAGTGATCCTCCCACTTCAGCCTCCAGAGAAGCTGGGACTACAGATGCATGCCACCATGCCAGGCTAATAAAAGAATTAAAAAACCAAAAGAGGTTTTTGAAGAGTTTTGTTGGCGGCCACAGTGGCTCACGCCTGTAATCCTAGCACTTTGGGGGGCCAATGCAGGTGGATCACCTGAGGTCAGGAGTTCGAGACCAGCCTGACCAACATGGAGAAACCCCATCTCAACTAAAAATACAAAATTAGCCAGCTGTGGCGGCACATGCCTGTAATCCCAGCTACTCAGGAGGCTGAAGCAGGAGAATCACTTGAATCCGGGAGGCGGAGGTTGCAGTGAGCCAAGATCGCATCATTGCACTCCAGCCTGGGCAAAAAGAGTGAAACTCCCTCTCAAAAAAAAAAAAGAAAAGAAAAGAAAAAAAGCCAGGCGCAGTGTCATGCCTGTAATCCCAGCATGTTGGGAGGCCAAGGTGGGCAGATACCCTGAGGTCAGGAGTTCGAGACCAGCCTGACCAACGTGGAGAAAAATACAAAAATTCGCTGGGTTACATTTATTGATTTGCATATGTTATATGTTGAACCAGCCTTGCATCCTAGAGATGAAGCCGACTTGATTTTGATGGATAAGCTTTTTGATGTGCTGCTTGATTCAGTTTGCCAGTATTTTATTGTGGATTTTCGCATTGATGTTTATCAGGAATATTGGCCTGAAATTTTCTTTTTTAGTTGTCTCTTTGCCAGGCTTTGGTATCAGGATGATGTTGGCCTCATAAAATGAATTAGGGAGGATTCCCTCTTTTCCTACTTCTTTTTAGCTGGGCGTGGTGGCACATGCCTGTAATCCCAGCTACTCAGGAGGCCAAGGCAGGAGAATTGCTTGAACCCGGGAGGCGGAGGTTGTAGTGAGTCAAGATCAAGCCATTGCACTGCAGCCTGGGCAACAAGAATGAAACGCTGTCTCAAAACAAAAACAAAAACAAAAACAAACAAAAAAAGAGTTTTGTTGAGTCAGGGTCTTGCTACGTTGCCCAGGCTGGTCTCAAACTCCTAGCTTCAAGCAATCCTCCTGCCTCAGCCTCCCAAAGGGTTGTTATTACAGGCATGAGCCACCATGCCTGGCCTTAAAGTCCTTTTAAAATACAAGACAAGAAACATTTGGCTGGGTGTGGTGGCTCACACCTGTTATTTTAGCACTTTGGGAGGTCAAGGTGGGTGGATCACCTGAAGTCAGGGGCTTGAGACCAGCCTGGTCAATACAGTAAAACTTCATCTCTACCAAAAATACAAAAATTAGCCAGGCATGGTGGCATGTGCCTGTAATCCCAGCTACTCAGGAGGCTGAGGCAGGAGAATCACTTGAACCCGGGAGGTGGAGGTTGCAGTGAGCCAGGATCGCACCATTGCACTCCAGCCTGGGAGACAGAGTGAGACTTGGTCTCAAAAAAAAAAAAAAAAGATTTACTGAACATCTAGTACATACCATGCAGTGTAATGTGTGTGGTTTTATTTATCTCAGCATAACCCTGGGAAGCAGTCTATTAGCAGACACAGGGGACAAGGCATAGGATGATCAGCTAACACACCCAGGGCCAAATATAAATAGCAGAATTCAAATTAAAGCCACCCTCCAAGCCATATCCTTCCCATTATCACACTACTGCATGTCTACAGCACAGTTGATGGGCATAACCCTTCTTAGCAACAGTGAGCAGCTGAGCAGAAAGTAATTGCAGGAGGCAAAGCCAAGAGGAAAACTGCTGAGAGTGCTGACGAGTAGGTGGAGAGAACAGAAGCACACACCATAGGGTGCAATCTTAGTGAACTTTGTTTTCCCTCAATGGAGGTACGTTCAGACCCAGGCCTGTCTCATTCATTCCCCCTGCTAGGGCACTGAATGGCTTGGACTCAGGAGTTGGGAAGGACATGGGGAAGTTGCTTTCCCAGTGGTGAGGACCGTGGCCACCGTGTGTATACAGCAAGAACAGGTAACAGAAGGGCCAGCATGGGGACACAGTGCAATGGTATACCGAGGGACAGGAGCATGAACCAGAACCACAGGACTGAGCTCCACTGGTTCCCAGGGAGGTGCCGGTGGGGGTGGGTGCGCTTCCTGGAAGCCAGACGCAGCGCCCAGGGGCAGTGTGAGGAGGTCTTCCTCAGACTCAGGGTTTGGGCAGGGATAGCGGGTGACCTGTGTGCTGGCTCTCCAGAAACTGAAAGCAGCAAGAGACACTTGGGCTCTGTTTTCAGTTGTTTTGGTGGTTTGTTTTGTTTTTGTAGGCACTCAGAGGTTGGCTGGAAATAAAGGTGGAGGAACTGGGCAGTTCAAAGGCAGGGAGGGCTTTCCCCATCCCCACCCCACCCACCCCACCCCCTTTCATTCAGAAAAGCCACAAAATCGTGGCCCCAGGGTGTGTGTGAAAGAAGCAAGGAGTGACTCCACCCAGCTCCTCTGGAGCAGAGGGAGGCTGTGGGCCTGGTCTTTGTGCATGTATTCCTGTGTGTGCCTGTGTGTGCGCGCTTGCTGGGGTGCTCAAGGGTTGGGGGAGCTGGCTGAGCAGACCGAGGAGATGGAGGGAGGTGGAGGAAAGTGGCTGCCATAGAGCTCTGGCTCTGGCTGACCTGAGCCTCTTTCTGAAGCTGCAGCTGCACTTTCGGGCCAGGCACTGTTGACACTATGGGTGTAAACGTGTGGCCAACAGTAGAATAGAGACTCAGAGTCTTGAGAAAGAAAGTGGTGACTTCCCCCTTTTTCTTCCTTCTTTCCCCTACAGAGCCTGCCATGTAGGGGCAGAGGTATGGACAAGCTGTCATTATAATACTAACAGCAAAGGGCTGGGCATGACACGTGGAAACACCATTGGCTCTAGAACTTGGGGCATTTGGTATGGTGGCAGGCAGGGATCCAGATGTAATATTTGTTATCTATTGCTGTGTAATGAATTAGCTTAAAGTATAGCAGCTTAAGAGAAGAAATGTTTATTATCTCACAGTATCTTTGGCTCAGAAATACGGGTGTGGCTTAGCTGGGTGCTTTCTGGTGAAGGTATTTTCATGAGGTTGCATTTGTGCCACCAGCTGGGGCTGCCATTTGATCTGAAGACTCAACAGTGGGGGACTGGAATCCAAGCTCCCTCACCTGGACACCAGCAGGATTCAGTTCCTTGAAGGCTGTTGCCTAGAGGCCTCCCTCTTTCCCTCCTTACAGGCCCTTCTCACAGGGCAGTTCATGACATGCAGCTGACTTTCTGCAGAGCATCCAAGTTAGAAAGAGCCCTTAGAAAGAAGGGACCGTCTTTATATAACCTCATCTCAGAAGTTACGTCCCATCCCTTCTGCAAGGTTCTATTATTCAAAATTGCATCAGTAAATCCAGCTCACTCAAGGGAAAGGGATTACTAGGAGGCGGGGGTCACTGGGGGCCGTTCTAGAGGCTGCCTGTCACAGTATCCAAGCTGAGACCTGCGGAATGACAGGAGTTCTCCAGTCACGGGGGCAGGAGGGAGTTGGGGGAACGGCAGGTGCAGTGAACTGCAGCTGTAACTCAGGGGGGCTGCAGAGAGAGCACTGCCTGGAGTGGGGCCATGCAGTGGAGAGGCCAGCAGGGCCCAGAACTTGTACAGTCTTTTAACCCGGGTTTGCAAGGGTGGACTTTATCCTGGAAATATGAGGAGCCTTAAGTTAGAGGCTAACAGTTAAGATCTGGCTTTAGAATGATTACATTGCAGGCCCAGTGCAGTAGCTCATGCCTGTAATCCCAGCACTTTGGGAGGCTGAGGCAAGCAGATCATCTGAGGTCAGGAGTTTGAGACCAGCCTGGTGAAACTCTGGCTCTACTAAAAATACAAAAAAATTAGCTGGGTGTGGTGGCAGTAGAGGCTGAGGCAGGAGAATTGTTTTAGCCCGAGAGTTGGAGGAGGTTGAGACTGTATCAGAAGGAAGGAAGGAAAGGAAGGGAAGGAAGGAAGGAAGGAGGGAGGGAGGGAGGGAGCGAAGGAAAGAGGGAAGGAAGGGCAGGCGGGTGGGCTTATGTTTATCTCCCTCCTCTAGAACATAAGCTCAATGAGGGCGGGGATTCTTGGTTGGTAGTTTCTGGTATCCCCAGTATTTAGCACAGTGGCTCTAAATGAATGACTAGAACACCCCCAGGTTTCTGGCTTGAGTAACTGGGTGGAGTTATTCTCTAAGCTATGAGGCACAGAGGGCAAACATGGACAAGAACCTAATATCTGAGAAATACTGAATTTGAAGTGCTTTGTGGGACATCCAAGAATAAACGCTTGGTAGGCAGTTGACATGTGGGGATCTGGAAAGCCTCTCAGAGAAATGGTGAGAGATGCAGACTTGAGGATCCAGCACCCAGATGCCAATTATGGGAGTAGTAAACATGGCCCTGGGACCCTTTCCCGGAGTTTCTAGGACACCTTACACAGCAACAGTGCTTGCTTTGAAAGATAGTAAAGGAAGAAAGTCTTGCCAATTGTCATTCACAAAAGAAAGCCTAAAGTATGTTGCCAGAGAGGAGAGGAGAAAGCCAGGAATCACAAAGGCCAGGAGAGAAATTTGGGTACTGTAAGAACAGCACAATAGGTTAGGGAAGGACTGAAAGGAGCCCAGTGAGTTGAAGCCCACTGTGGGTGGGGAGGAAGGAAAAAAAGAATGTCTTCCAGAATGCAAAGCATTACTTAACATTATTTTATTTTATTTTATTTATTTTTAGATGAAGTTTCGCTCTGTTGCTCAGGCTGGAGTGCAGCATGTTCTGGGCTCACTGCAACCTCCGCCTCCCAGGTTCAAGCAATTCTTCTGCCTCAGCCTCCTGAGTAGCTGGGATTACAGGCACTCACCACAACGCCTGGCTCATTTTTGTATTTTTAGTAGAGACCAGGTTTCACCATGTTGGCCAGGCTGCTCTCAAACTCCTGACCTCAGGTAATCCACCTGTCTCGTCCTCCCAAAGTGGTGAGATTACAGGCATGAGCCACCATGCCCAATGTATTATTTTATTTTATTTTGAGACAGGATCTCGCTCTGTTGCTCAGGCTAAAGTGCAGTGATGCAACCATGGCTCACTGCAACCTCCTCTTCCTGATTCTCAAGCAATCCTCCCATCCCAGCCTCCCAGAGTGCTGGGATTACAGGTGTGAGCCATCACACCCAGCCTCCATTACTTAAAATTTGTTTTAATTAGCTGGGGGCGGTGGCTCATGCCTGTAATCACAACAGTTTGGGAGGCCAAGGCGGGTGGATCACCTGCAGTCAGGAGTTTGAGAGCAGACTGGCCAACATGGTGAAAGCTGTCTCTACTAAAAATACAAAAATTAACTGGGCATGGTAGTGGGCTCCTGTAATCCCAGCTACTGGGGAGGCTGAGGCTGGAGAATCGCTTGGACCCAGGAGATGGAGGTTGCAGTGGGCTGAGATGGTGCCACTGCATTCCAGAGCAACAGAGTGAAACTCCGCCTCAAAAAAGAAAAATTAAAACTATCACTTCCAAACACCATTAAAACACAAAGTGCCCGCTTTGGCGCATATATACTAAAATTGGAAAAGTAACAAAGAAGATTAACACAGCCCCTGCACAAAGATGACAGGCAAATTCATCAAACAAACATTCCTTTTTTTTGAGACAGTGTTTCACTCCTATCACCAAGGCTGGAGTGCAGTGGCTTCATCTCAGCTTACTGCAACCTCCACCTCCCCGGCTCAATGGATTCTCCTGCCTCAGCCTCTGGAGTAGCTGGGACTATAGGCGTGCACCACTGTGCCCAGCTAATTTTTGAATTTTTGGTAGAGATAAGGTTTCACTATGTTGCCCAGGCTGGTTTTGAACTTCTGAGCTCAAGCGATCCACCCACCTCAGCCCCTCCCAAAGTGCTGTGATTACAGGCGTGAGCCACTGTGCCCAACCTCATATTTTTTACATTAATTTTGAAAAAAAAAAAAAAAAAAAAAAACATACAAAATATAGATAAGTGTTTAGATCACAACTTCCCCATATTGGTCTTTGTTGCAGCAATTTGGGAATCACCTGGATGTTTTTTTTCTTTTTTTGAGATGAAATCTCGCTCTGTTGCCCAGGCGGGAGTGCAGTGAAGTGATCTTGGCTCACTGTAACCTCCACCTCCTGGATTCAAGCGATTCTCTTGCCTCAACCTCCCGAGTAGCTAGAACTACAGGCATGTGCCACCATGCCCAACTAATTTTTTGTATTTTTAGTAGAGACAGGGTTTCACTGTGTTAACCAAGATGGTCTCCATCTCTTGACCTCGTGATCTGCCCGCCTCAGCCTCCCAAAGTGCTGGGATTATAGGGGTGAGCCACTGTGCCCCACCAACCTGGGCAGTTTTTGAAAACACAGATTCTGGGTTTGCCCCAGTTCCATAAAATTCACCTCTCCAGGGTGAGGCAGGATAAACTATTTTTTAATGTGCCACGTGACTTTGAAGAGTGACAAGCTTTTTAAAAATTTTGGGTTTTCTGCTTTTATTATTTTTAACTGATACATAATAATTGTATATATTTATTCAGTACAGTATGAGATTTTGATATAGGCATACAATGTAATGATCTAATCAGGGTAATTAACATATCCATCACTTCAAAGGGTTTTGACATCACTCATTTACACCTCTAAGAAATAATGATTTTTGCAGGGTGCAGTTGCTCACGCCTGTGGTCCCAGCACTTTGGGAGGCTGAAGCAGGCAGATCACCTGAGGTCAGGAGTTCAAGACCAGCCTGACCAAGATGGAGAAACCCCATATCTACTAAAAATACAAAATTAGCCAGGCATGGTGAGGCATGCCTCTAACTTGGTAGGCTGAGGCAAGAGAATCGCTTGAACCTGGGAGGCAGAAGTTGCAGTGAGACAAGATCTCACCACTGTACTCCAGCCTGGGCAACAAGGGGGAAAACTCTGTCTCAAAAAAAAAAAACCTGATTTTTATTTGACTTTAAGCCCTTTTAGAAGAAATAAAACAGTACAAAACATTTCATAGATTGCTAAACTGTTAGAAGCCGATTGTTAAATTTAACTTTAATAGGAAATTTAAAGCAATCAAGAAAATAAACTCTCCACAAAGTTTTTTTTTTTTTTTTTTTTTTTTTTTTAGTTCATGTCTTTTATTAACTCAGTTATTTGTCTTCTGGTTTGTTAAAGCAGTAAGTCAGACAACATTTGCCACAATAATGTCTGTCAAAGTGGCTTGCCATAAACACTCCAGCACCACATTCATCAGAAGGGCATTCTCGACGAAGGCGACTAATTTTGCCATTCTCATCCACCTTATAATATTTCAGGACAGCCAGCTTAACCTTCTTTCTCTTGTGCTTATTCTTCTTGGGAGTGGTGTAAGACTTCTTCCTTTTCTTAGCACCACCACGAAGTCTCAACACAAGATGACCAGTAGACTCCTTCTGAATGTTGTTGTCAGACAAAGTACGTCCATCTTCCAGTTGCTTGCCAGCAAAGATCAGTCTTTGCTGATCAGGAGGAATTCCTTCCTTATCCTGGATCTTGGCCTTTACATTTTCTATCGTATCCGAGGGTTCAACCTCGAGGGTGATGGTCTTCCCCATAAGGGTTTTCACGAAAATCTGCATTTTGGTGGCAGCCCCACGTGAGGCTGAGAAAAAGGAAGAGATGGGTTAGGTCAGAGGACACACATGCACGAGGCAAACGACGCTGGCCCGAGAGCATGCGAAGAGCAGACACTCACCGCAGATGGTGGATCGAAAAGCTCCACAAAGTTTATTTTTTAAAAAACTATAAAATACATCCTGTAGGTATATTATCAATAAAATGCTGATGACTATAATTAGGACTATACATTTAGTTGAGAGTGAGAGCTAGATTAGTAAATAAAATTGTCCATAAACATTTGTAAATCAGTTTTCCTCTTTTACAAAGAACCCAGTGCTTTAAGTGAAGAGCAGAGACAGCTCCTGGCTCTGGATGGGGTCGAAGTCTTCGCTGTTCCAAGGAAAGCTCCCAGCTGACCATTGCCCTCTTCTCTTGGAAAGCGCCACAGCTACCTTCCACCACTCCTGGAGCAATTTTCCAGCCTGAGGTGCACAACTGCTTCCATGTCCTTGCCATTCTTGTTTGTCCTTGGCAGTTCACTTTGATTCTCAAAAGTCCATTAAAAACCCCTTCCAGGTCCTTGGGGATCCCTGGCCATGTAAGCTCTGCAACCAAACTTTCTAGTATGAAGTTTCTAGAGCTTTCCACAGCCTCTAGCTCAGTCTCTCTCTCTCCAGTCTGGCCACAGACCCCCAGCGACCTATCTGCCATCTCTTGGAAATTTCTTTCTAAATTCCCAACTCCCTGTGCTACCTTTCCAGGACTTGGAGTTGCAATAGTTTGCCCAGTTCCCCTTTTCCTTTAGTCTTTAAAGATAAGTCCACAGGTTTTTCATTTGTTTATAAAATTTACTTTACATCAGGAAATGAAAATAAACATAGGGAAGCTGATAAGTCACAGCTCCCCACCCCCAGCCCTTGCTCTGGGAAAGCCTCTAGCAAGGCTCAGATGCTTCTATCTTAAGGTTAAATCACACCAAACAATAGACACCCTTTGGTTTCACCTCAGTGGGAGGAATGTGCCTAGTGCCATGGGTCTCCTGCCCCACACAGGATTTCTCTGGACTCCTTAGAGTGTTTCTTCAAAACAAGTTCAATCTCGATCTGATTAGTCCCTGAAGAGATGCAAATCAAATGAGATACGATTTTTGTTCTATCAAGAGGGCACAATAATAAAAAAATGAAAATGAAGCCTGATAATAGTCTGTTTGGGCCAGCTTGCTGGGAAGCAGACTCATTTTTATACTGCTGGAGGAGTTCAGCATTAAGGGCCTTAAATTCGTTCATCCTCTTCAACCCAGTAATCCCACTTCTAGGAAAATATCCTAAGGAAATTGCAAGGCCAGTTGCCTCGCCGGGAAGCCAGACACACCAACCTCTGCACTCAGCACCTGACTCTGCACCCAGCACCAGGTTCTGCACTCGGCACCTAGCTCTGCCACATGGCTCCCCTGGAAGCCTCCAGCTGATGCAACCCTGGCCAGCTCTTGCACCAGAAAACCTGCCTAACAACCCGCCAACCAATGGCGGCCTGACCCGTCCCATTCCCGCTCCCCTGGAGCCAATCAGAGCACCCAGCTGTTGCTCTTTCCTCATAGCCATAAAAACCCCCTGCCCCAGGAAGTCAGCGCGACTTCTCTGGCCCCCCTTTCCCCAGACCAGGGAACTCGCCCAGGAGCTGATTAAATTTCTTTATTTCAATAACTGGCCTCAGTTGCCTTATTCGCCTCATTCGAACCTCAGTGGCCTCATTCAAACCGTACATTTGGTGCCAAAACCCAGGAGGAGCCTAGCCCCTCTTCCTTTCCCTTTTTGGGAAGGGGTGGTTCCTCACCCAGAAGCTGAACCAGGAATCCGTCAACCTCCACGGTGTCACTGGTCACCACACGGTAAGACACGAGGTAAAATATTTGGTGCTGCCTAACTAAACCTGCTGCTCGGAACCTCACCCCCACCTACTCCCAGGAGCACTCCTGTCCATAGTCACGGCCGTGCCAGGAGGGCCCCTCCTCACTCCAGGTTAGAAGTTCCACAGAGACCTCCAGGAGCTTCCCCTGCCAAAGCGCCAAGGAGACATCTTTCTGCTCTGGTCTTTCTCCCTTACCCTCGTACTCAGAACGAGAACTGGGACACCAGTTCCCGTTCCTAACTACTCCATAGCGGTGAGTGAATTCTGAGCAGCAAATCCAGATTCAGCTGTATTCTCAGCTCCTGTTTCTGCTCCTATCTTCTCTCTCTCTCTCTTTTAAGATGGCGGCCATTTCCTGTTTCTGCTCCTATCTTCTCACTCTCTCTCTCTCTCTTAAGATGGTGGCCATTTCCCGTTTCCCTTTGTGTTTCTGTTTCTGTCTTCTAACGTCCTTCTCCTAAAATGGTCATCCTCCGTCTTCTCCTTCTATACTGCCCCTCAACCATACGCCAATTAAATCCTACCCACAAATCCTCCGCCATATGTGGAACCTCAGCTCCCCACCCCCCAGGTCCTCCTCTTCCTGGTTCCATCCTAGCCTCTCCTGTCACTTCTCATACTCGCTCGCACCGTGCTCCTAATGATGAAACCTCCCTCCTTTGCCCCCTTCGCAAGGTTGCCAGAGCGGAAGGCATTGTTCGCGTACGTGTTCCCTTCTCCCTCTCTGATCTATCAGCCATTGAGAAATGCCTAGGGTCATTTTCCACCAATCCTACTGCTTACACCAAAGAATTCTGCTACCTCACCCAGGCTTACAACCTCACCTGGCATGATACCTATGTGATTCTGTCCTCCACCCTCACACCAGATGAGCGTGACTGCATCCTTACAGTGGCCCAGGCACATGCTGATCAGGTACCACAGACAAATGCCAGTAGGTGCGGCAGTGGTCCCCGAGGCCAACCCTAATTGGAACTATCAAACTTGTCAAGATGGCTGCCGCCACCGAGACCAAATGCTACAGTGCCTCCTAGTGGGCATGCAAAGTGCAGCCCAAAAGGTAGTTAATTATGATAAGTTAAGGGAAATAACTCAGGGTCCTACTGAAAACCCCGCTGCCTTTCTCGACCGATTAACTAATGCTATGATCCTTCATACCCGGCTGGACCCAGCCTCTTTACCAGGGGCTACAGTCCTAGCCACCCATTTCATCTCTCAGTCAGCAGCTGACATTAGAAAGAAACTTAAAAAGGCTGAGTAGGGCCCCCAAACTCCCATATGAGACCTGGTAAACATGGCATTTAAAGTTTTTAATGGCTGAGAGGAAAAGGCTGTGGCCACCTGCCAGGCCCATCTACAGCAAAAGGTAAGCCTCCAAACCCAAGCTCTTGTGGTAGCCCTGAAGCCGGCAACCCACCAGGCTCCTGGCGGAGGGGGTCCATCAAAACCCACCAAGAACTCCAGAGGAGTTCTGCCTGGGCCCTGTTTCAAGTGTGGTCAGGAGGGACACTGGGCACGTCAGTGTCCATGTCCCCAACCACCTACCAAGCCCTGCCCGGACTGCAAGCAGCTTGGATATTGGCACAGTGATTGCCCATCCTGGACTACAGGCCCACCCCCTGCACCTCTATGTGGAGGTAAGGCCAGTCCGCAGGAAGCAATCCCATCACTTGAACTTCTTGGCCTTCTGGATGACTGACGCAGCCTGGACTCAAAGACCCCCATCACCCTTGCCGAGCCCAGGGTAACACTGCAGGTAGCAGGTAAGTCCATTTCCTTCTTAGTGGACATGGGCACTACCTATTCTGTATTGCCTTCCTACTCAAGGACCTAGCATACCTTCCCAGGTTTCAGTCATGGTAATTGATGGAAAGCCTTCCTGTCCTAATCAAACCCATCCTTTAGCCTGTGTTCTCAAGGGACACCCCATTTCCCACTCTTTTTAAATTATACCCTCGTGCCCAGTCCCTCTTGTAGGATGAGACATTCCCCAGACTGTGGGGGCCACTCTCCAACTCACTGGCCCTCCACACTCAAGCCCATCATCTGCCCACCTCCTACTGCCACTCCTAACCGATGCCACGCCCTGTCTTAACTCCTTGTCCCAATCTCCTATCCCTTCTGACGTAGTTAATCCCCTGGTATGGGATATCTCCAAGCCTGTAGTAGCCAAACATCATCCCCAGGTTAAGATTCTTCTCAAAAATCCTACCCACTTTCCTTCGCATCCTCAGTTCCCCATCTCGAAGGCCCACCGTCAAGGCCTGAAGCCTATCATCACCTGCCTGCTAGCCCAGGAACTACTTATTCCTACCAGTTCCCCTTGTAACACTCCTATCTTGCCGGTCCAAAAGCCGTCCGGTGGCTACCACCTGGTTCAGGTGCCTCATTCGAACCTCAGTTACCTCATTCAAACCTTACAGAAATAATCAAAAGATGCATCAAGAATTTATGAACAAAAGATAGTCACTGCAGAGCCATCACTGAGAAGAACCGGAAAAGACTTAACATGCCTTTCAGGTGGGGCCTGGCTCTGCAAATCCTCATCTATCTCTCTGATAGAATGGGGTGCATCCAGTCATGGAATCATCCGTGCCACAAGCAGTTATTCAGTACCTACTCTGCGTTAGGTAAACAATGCAGAGTATTGTTAACTTGGCTGGGTAAACAGGTAAGTTATCAGTGCCCCAGAAGATGCAGTCACTAAAATCCATGATTTCCTAAAGTAAAACAATTTAAAATTGTTCACATTATTTGTGTGTGTGTGGGGGGGCATTTTATTGCCCTTCACTTCTCATTCCCCCCCTCCCCTGCCACTCCCTCAAGCAGTTGCCAAATTCAAATAATTTTTCCTTCAATGCTTCTCCAGTCTGTGACCTCTCCTTTTCTTTCAAAAGCAAATCCTAAGGCTGGGAGGTAACCTGATCACCGAGGAACACAAACCTGGAAATCTTCGGATTGGTTTCTGGTTCCAGGAAGTTGCGTGACTTTGGGCAAATCACATCACCTCTGCGAGTGTTTCTAATCAGAATAAAGGGCTGGACCAATCTTCCAGATCCTTTGAATCCAATCATTTTGGCCTTATGACGGAACCATCTGTAGATGAGGGCATCTGAACCCCAGTTAAAGGGAGGGGTACAGTGAAGCCCCTCAAGATCTGAGATGCTTTTCCTGGACATTTAAAAGGCAAAGGGTTGTCTAGAGTGAAAGTATAAGACAGACAGGCCCTGTCCCAGGCAGCTCACTGCACTCCGCTCTTCTTTCCAGCAGACCCCAAACTTTGCTACAGCCAGCTTTAGCAAGCAGGCCTGTCATCCTTTCAGGTGCGATGTAATATCAAGAAGCAGCAGCTGACAATTATTGGGTGCTACTAAGGGCAGGAGATTTGCAGTTCCTTCCCTTTCACACAAAAGTATGAGGTCTGTTTTACTATTCTCATTCTAAAGGCAAAATGGAGGCTCACGGAGGTTACAGAACTTATGGGAAGTGACAGGGCTATTTGCCACCTTTATACTGGCCGGTCTTCCTCTTTTTCTCAAAGGGTGGGGTGGGGGAGCAGCCTCTCGTGTTATCACCCTTTCCTGCCGCAGAAAACAGAAGTGTAGGTCAGTATGGTAGCACAAGTTTGTTGATTACCAACTGGGAGACAGAGATGAGATGACTCACAAGCATGTAGGTTAGCAGGGCTGCAGAAGTTTATAAATGATCTTAGAATCTCCTGCAGCCCCATTCTTTCATTTGGTAACCGACCTCCTCCCTGCCCTCAGCCTCATAGCACCCTTCCCCCACTAGGGTGAAGGGTCAGCTCTGAAAATGCAGTCAGGAAGGAACAATGAATGTCTTCTCTCCGCCTGAGAGAAATAAAATTTGCATCTCAGATGAGCTCAGATTGGTGACGCCTCCTTCGGACTCCGATCCTTGCAGTCAATCTCTGCTCTGGGAATTTCCTGTGACCTGTTAAGGTTTGCTGCTCCAAAGGAATAAGGAGTATTCTTTGACATTTATGTCCATTTAACTCAGGAATGTAAAAAGGCAGGTTAGAGTTCTATGGACACCCTGAAATTGTACATAAGAGTGTGCGCACACATAGGTGCGTTTTCCTGGGGATGGTTGTTCATAGCTTTCCTTAGATTGTTAAAGGAATTTATAGCTACCCAAGGTTAAAAACTTCCGTGAGGAGTGTGATAAAGGAGGAACAGTGGTGCAAATCCTGTGGGAGGGGGAATGACTTAACAAACCCAGAAGTGAGGGTGGGAGGGAAATATTCAGGTGAGACTCAATTCAGAGGTAGGATTTTTTTTTCGGAGGTAACTTTTTTTGTGTTCTTACTGTGTGCCAGGCATTGCTTTAAAATATATGAGGCCAAGAGCAGTGGCTCACGCCTGTAATCCCAGCACTTTGGGAGACTGAGGTGGGTGGATGACTTGAGGTCAGGAGTTCGAGACCAGCTTGGCCCACATGGTGAAACCCCGACTCTACTAAAAGTAGAGAAATTAGCCAGGCGTGGTGGCATGCCGTAGTTGCAGCTACTCAGGTGGCCAAGGAACGAGAATCTCTTGAACCTGGGAGGCGGAGGTTGCAGTGAGACCAGATTGTGCTACTGCACTCCAGCCTAGGCAACAGAGGAGACTCTGCTTCAAAAAATAAAAATAAACAATAAACTAAAATATATGAGAATTAGGTAATTCTTTTTCTTTTTTTCTTGAGATGGAGTCTTGCTCTTTTGCCTAGGCTGGAATGCAATGGCGGGATCTCACTGCAACCTCTGCCTCCCAGGTTCAAGCGATTCTCCTGCCTCAGCCTCCCAAGTAGTTGGGATTACAGGCACACACCACCACACCCAGCTCATTTTTTGTATTTTTAGTAGAGACGAGGTCACCATATTGGCCAATCTGGTCTCAAATTCCTGACCTCAAGTGATCCACCCAACTCAGATTACAAGTGTGACCCACTGTGTCCAGTCCTGGGCTTTTTGACATCCTTTTATTTTTTTCTTTGGTAAAGTGTATATTCAAATCATTTGCCCTTTTTTTGTTGTTGGGCTGTTTATCTTACTGAATTGTGAGGGTTCATTCTATACTCTGAATGCAAGTTCTTTGTCAGATATGTGTGTTGCTAATATTCAGTACCAGTCTGTGGCTTATCTTTGCATCCTCCTAAATTTCTTTCAAACAGCATACGTTCTGACATGGAGTAATTAGTCCTGGGCCTGGCAGATTTCTTTCTTTCAGGACCCGAGGCCTCTGCTGCAAACATGTTCTACAAGATCCTTGGTCAGAATAAGCAGCATATGAGCTTGATAACTGTTATGGTCATAATGTTTGTATCCCATCAAAATTTGTATGTTGAAACCTCATCTCCAATGTGATAGTATTAAGATCAGGGCCAGGCCAGGCTGGGCGTGGTGACTCACGCCTGTAATCCAAGCACTTTGGAGGCCAAGGTGGTCGGATCACCTGAAGTCGGGAGTTCAAGACCAGCCTGACCAACATGGTGAAACCCTTTTAAAAAAAAAAAAAAAAAACAGATAGGGGCCGTTTGGGAGGTGATGAATTGGCTTAGTGCCCTTATAAAAGAGGGCCAAAGGAGCTTTACGCCTTTCACTATGTGAGTGCACAGGGGAAGGCGCCATCTGTGAGGAATAGGCTCTCAGCAGATATTAGCACCTTGTTCTTGGGCTTCCCAGCGACCACAATTATGAGATGTAAATGCTGTTTATTGTTTATGTCACCCCCCCCCAGCATATGGTATTATTATTATTTTTGGATATCGGGTCTTGCTCTATCACCCAGGTTGGAGTGCAGTGGCATGATCATGGCTCATTGCAGCTTCAACCTCCTGAACTCAAACAATGCTCCCACTTCAGCTTCCCAAATATCTGGGGCAACAGGTGTGAGCCACCATGCCTGGCTAATTTTTTGATTATTTTTAGAAAAGGGGTCTCCCTATGTTGTCCAGGCTAGTATTTTCTTATCAAAGCCGGAAAGGACAAAGACATTGTCCATCTTTTTTTTTTGCTCTCTGTCTCCAGGCTGCAGTGCAGTGGCACGTTCAAGTGCCTCCGGGTTCAGGTGCCTCCCAGGTTCAAGTGATTCTCCTGCCTCAACCTCCTGAGTAGCTGGGATTACAGGCATGTGCCACTACACTCGGCTAATTTTTGTATTTTTAGTAGAGACAGGGTTTCACCATGTTGGCCAGGCTGGTCTCAAACTCCTGACCTCAGGTGGTCTACCCGCCTTGGCCTCTCAAAGTGCTGGGATTACAGGTGTGAGTCATCATGTTCGGCTACTATTATTATTTATTATCTACTATATGTATCACTTATGTTTATTATGTAACTCCTCCACTGGAATATAAACTCCATGAGAGCAGGAGCAGGAATTTAATGTGTATTTTTAAAATGCTGTATGCCCATAACCTAAAGAAACACCATCAAGATCTACAACAATGAAGCAAAACAAAGTATCAATCCCACAGTTTTATTTGTAAAGAACAAAGCATGAAAAGTCATATTTAAATGTACTCCCAAACCTGAAAAACCCACGTCAGTTTGTCTGATATGTATGTTAAAGTGCTTAATATCACAATACTCTTTTAAATTTTATATTATGTTCAGATGAGAAAAAAATCCAGTTCTGATGCATTCTGTTAACAATACAAAGAAAAACAATATAATTTAAATGCAGAAATGCTAATTAAAAAAAGATACACAGGGTACATTTATACATGGTTCAAGTGTAACACAGAGCATTCTTTCTATATGTTTCACACCCTCATTTGATTGACAAATAGGAACTCCTTACAATATCTCTCTACTGTTGACAAGATTTGGTGTTCAGAATCAAGAATGGATTCCCACACAAGTACATTTAGGTAACTGGAACAAGCATGATTCCCTCCTACATAACCCAAGGATACCCTGGATCCCTTTGAATGAGGAAAAATTTTATTTTAGTTTTTTTTTTCCCCCTCTAGCTTGATGTGATACATCTCTGAAGCCAATCTTTATCTTGTCCTTGAGAGGGCAAATAGCTCTAATCAGATTTTGGAGATGAAGTTCTCCTCAGATTCTTTTGATGAAACTACATCAGCAACCTCTTCAAAAAGCTTAGAATTCAGTTGATTCAAGGGATTTATAAGTGTATTTTAAGAGGAATAAAGGACCTAGTAGTTTATTATCCTTTTCTGTCTCCTATTTATGCTAAACAGTAATGTAATAAATACTATGTAAGAAACAGAGACTTCAAAAGACATGGATGACTTGGAAATGGGATTCACTTTATAAAAGTAGAGAGGTGCTCAAGACTCTCAATCAGTGAAGGTGTGTTAATACTGAAATATAAATAAAGTTCAGATTGTCTTTTCAACATAGTGAAAAGGATAGACTAGTTTCTGTAAACCTCACAGAAAACATTCACAGTTCACTAAATGAAAAATCTACTGAAAAATCATAATTTTTAGCAGAAAGAAGATATTTCATTATGAAGAGCTATACTCCTAATGTTGTGAAATAAGAATTTCCCTGGAAATTTGAGGTCCTTGTCTGTCACCTGTTTTAAAATACCTTAGGGATGTCAACATATACTATACGTAAGCTGTTGTATAGTCTTGAACCTCTCTTTTTTACTTATATTTTCATATAACAGTGTTTTATTGCCAAAAAGGGAAATATGAGCAATTCAGTATTCCCCCTATCATTCATATAGTGTGATAGAAATTCATTAAAATAATTTTTTAAAATGCCATGTGAAGGTAAATACCATAGGATTACAAAAGGTACAAGAATGTGTAAAACACTTAAATTTTAGAGGGAAATCCACACTTCTGCAAGGTTTAAGTTTCTCATATCAAATTCTCATTCCCAGTGGAAAACAGGGTGGGGAGGGTTGGGAGGCTTTTGTAGCCAATAGCCTGCTGTTTCCCCACATAAGACTCCACTTTATACTACTTCACACTGACTCGCAGTCATTTTTAAGGCATATGACTCCCGACCAGGGCACAGATCTCAAACATACTTCCAACATCGGTGTAATGCCACTGTGTCATAAAGGTCGAGATTAGGGGTTTCAGGACATATGAAAAACATCGGGAAAATAAATTTTTCAGGAGGTAATATTTTTGGCAATTTAATTTTAAAACAACTTATTCACCAGCTATTACTATGCAAACAACACTCATTACGGTCCCAGGCATTTAATTTGTTTGGAGGAAAAAAAATTAAATATTGATTTTTTTATTTAAACTTTGAGACGTAATCCTAAAGCAATATATTAATTTTTAAAAATTACTACAGCAAAAAAGATGCCTCTATGTGGGTATGGTCCTTCCAAAAGTCAGCTTAAAAGTCTAAGCATTTATTCTCAGCATTCTGCTACTACTGTTGTGCTCAAAATTTTGGTATGACTTAGAGACAGTTATAAGACACATAAAAACTAAGTCCTGCCAGGCGCAGTGGCTCACACTTGTAATCCTAGCACTTTGGGAGGCCGAGGTGGGTGGATCACCTGAGGTCATGAGTTCAAGACCAGCCTGGCCATCATAGTGAAACCCCATCTTTAAAAAACAAAAAAACTAAGTCCTTTGTTTTGTTTTTTTGAGATGGGGTTTCCCTATGTTACCCAGGCTGGACTCAAAACTCCTGGGTTTAAGCAATCCTCCTGCCTTGGCCTCCCAAGCAGCTGGGACTACAGGTGTGTACTGCCATGCCTAACATGTCTTATTTCTTTATAACTGCATTTCTTATGAAACCCCAATCTCAGCTTAAGCATCCTTTTTATTGATCAAACTTCGATCCTAAGAACTATTTCCAAGTTAAATTTATTGTTAAAGGCCAAAATTGACCACCATCAGGAATACTAAAAAGAATGGGGGTACTGGCCATTCAAGCAGCTCAGAAGAGGGTCCCACATGTTTACAGCACGGGCTGTATCAACAGAATAAGTACATGGGATCAAAAGGTGACTAATGAGCCCATCATCCAGGAGGATGCATCAGTTCTGATGAGTTTTTTTAACCAGTCATTTCACTATCATAGTACTATTACATAAGGCATGAAGATGTAACTTTAAGTCTAACTTTTTTGGGGGTATTACTTTTTAAAGTAATGGTTTTATTCATATGCCCCCCAATCCAACTTTGCTCCCAATTTTTTGTTTTGTTTTTTTTTTTTGAGACAGAGTCTTGCCCTTGTTGCCCAGGCTGGAGTGCAGTGGCACAATCTTGGCTCACTGCAACCTCCACCTCCTGCGTTAAACGATTCTCCTGCCTCAGCCTCCCAAGTAGCTGGAACTACAGGCACCTGCACTATACTCAGCTAATTTTTGTGTATTTTTTTTTTTTTTTTTTTTTTTAGTAGAGACAGGGTTTCACCATGTTGGCCAACCTGGTCTCAAACTCCTGACCTCAGATGATCCGCCCGCCTCAGCCTCCCAAAATGCTGGGATTATGAGCATGAGCCACCATGTCTGGCTTGCTCCCAGTTTTTACATGATGTTAATTCCCAATAATTTGAGAGCAATGTGTTAATATGAATATTAATTCTTCTAAATAAATATTCATCCTTATTTCTTACTTGTATAGGTGGATGAATAACGATCCAATAGTATAATAGAAAGACTATTAGTAAGAATGCCTGGAAGGTCAGTCTCATGCAGCCTGGTGAAATAAAACAAACAAACATGAATTCTAGAGCTTGTGTTGTCAGAGACCAGCTGTGGGGTAAGGGTAAGATTTAATCTCTCTAATCCTTAAGTGTTCCCATCTACAAAGTGAGAAGGCTGGACAAGGTGGGTCAATACTAGTACACTAACCTAAGCTGTCCCCCTGGTTGCCTAGACCTGTCAGAAGCATGGCCTTACGAAGATAGAAGCATGAAATCCTGGGTTGGACCCCGCTATCGTCTCTGATCACTAAACTCAGTAGGAGCCCAGTGTAAAACAGGTTTTGGGTTTCTCCCACAATAGACTTCCCATGTCCCTGGAAGAACTGTACCATTACAGACACACTTTAGCTTCAGGCAAACAAATTTCTAGTCTACCCAGAACCATCTTCTTAAACTATTTCTATGGGTTTTTAAATACAGCTGTCAACTCTCCTTTTCCTCAAGTATGAAGTCACATGTTAAAAGGGGCTTCCCTGGCTGAATACAGTGTTTGATAAAGGGAGTGAGGCACTTGTTTCATTAGTTTCTTCCTCCAGGAAATAAGGTTCATAACACAGCTGGTGAAAGCACAGCACCCTCAGGCTGCACAGGATACTGACACTATGGCTTTGCTTTTCAGCCACATCTGGGAATAACACTCAGAGTTTTGCTGAGGCAATTTTGCTGCTAAAAATGTACAAATGCCTAATTAGAGTTACAGGACCTACCAGAAGATGAGGACTTAAAGTAACTAGCTAATACAACATTTATTTAAGTTCTTTATAAACTATCAAACTGGAAAGTTACTCACAACTTTTGACCTTTCAAAATTGTTGCCACCTCTTGTTTTGCTTCAATTTTGTCAGCCTGTGCCGCCAGTGGCTTTTAGCTTCTCTGGGCCGGTTGTTTTACATTATTACTCCCCTTCCTACAAAGGAACGTAAAGCTTGCCCTTAAACACCCAGAAAGGATTCATTCTCTCTCTCCTTCTGTTATTTGCATTATCATGGTCAACAAATGCTTTCACAAAAACATTCCAAGCCACACAGAGCCCTCCTCCTCCTTAGACATTCCTTCCATTACCCGAGGGGGGATGGGCCCTGGAGAGGTGGATGATTAGACCCTAAAAAAGACTCGAGGTTAACCTTAAGAGGTAGACCACTGCAGAGTTTAGATGGCCAAATTAAAAGTACAGAATCAAATTGCTGTTTGCAGTTCTTATGACTCTGAGTCTGCTAACACTGAAATTCACATCTCCCCAAAGTACCTCAAATAACAAGAATAAAAATGCCAAGAATGAAGTTAGGCTAATCTTTCCAAAGTGTAAAGAAGTTATAATCCCACAATTGAACACACTTCTCAGGGCTTTATATGTTCTCTTTCCAGTTCAGCCAAGCTCCTGGGGTCTAGTGTTTAAAATACTTTAATTATATCATCTTGTGCGGACTGAAAGATTTTTCCAAAAGACTGGAAAAGTGACTAACGATTCAAATGCATACAACAGTTTGTAACTTAAAAGATATAAGTGAAGACTACTGGTACAGTAGGTAAAGCTGTGTGCATTCACAATACAAAGGATTGGATTCCAAGATGGATGGCTACTACATAACAATGCATTCTGAGTTTGTTTGTGATACCTGGAGAAAAAAAAAGCCTGACTGGGTTGCACTATATTTACATGTTTACTGGCTTCTTCCTGGCTAGCACCACTCTTTCCCCCAACCCCCAACATTTTTAAGCTACTTAAGTCACAGGAATCTTCAATCTAAGAAAAGCATCTTATTAAGAGTAATACAATTTCTTAAAGAAGATAGCATATTTACACACATCTAACACATGAAAATACTCTATTTTATACTAAATTCCAGGTTCAAATGAACTACAATACAACATTTTGCCTTGTCTGTAGAGTGAGGATTGTTCCAAACGGGGCATAAGTTGGACCGTCCCCTGCAGTAACTCACTACTGTCAGACAAGTCCAAATCAGTCCCCTAGTTGGGGAAGGTGCAAGGTTTGGACTGAAAGTTTCTAGCCAGTTTGGTTACACATCCACACCTTTGATGAGTGATCCTTCTAGGACTATGGTGAAGTCCTGAATGGTCTGCAGAATTCGAATAAGGGAGTTGACAGTCATGCGGTCTCGCAGGAGAGCGCTCTCTTCATACATTCGAGTGATGGCAGGACACTCAGCTAACAACGGAATCCACTGTGGGAGCAGGCGATCCCTACAGACCCAAACAGAAACAATTCCTGAGCACTGCTGGCCTCGCTGCAGAACAAGGAACACAGTGGAGCTTTCAAATGGGAAGGTGTGGGGCCGGATGGTACAAAATCTAGCCAAGCAAAGAAGTCAGGAGAGAGGAAATCAAAGCCAAGAAGTTGAATATTTACTGGCAAAAAGACAGTGATGAGACAGTGTAAAGATAAAGAGAAAACCCATGAAGTTCTTAAAGTACATTAGAAAGTCTATGCACATTAAAGACATTCTCTATTCTGATTATACCACCTTTAGAAAGAGGCAGAATGTCATTTTCTATGTCTTTTTTTTTTTTTTTTTAATAGGAGTGTTACTCTGTGGCAAGGCATGCCAGAGCATACTGACCTTTTGAAAGAAAGACTACACTAAACTGCAGGAATTTGCTTTTTTTTTTTTTTTTTTAATTATTAACTTATACAACATAACAGGGTGAGGAACAAAATCAAAGCAGAAAAACATTAAGTAGATTTTATAAACCAGAAGAGAGTTTGCATTGGTCTAATAAATCAGAAGAGTATAGAGATAAAAGGAGATAAAGATCATGCTCAAAAGAAACTTTAAAAGCACAGCTAAAATTGGGCTCCTTTTATGAAGAAGAAATACAGAACTTAGTTTTGTAAACCAGCTGTTTCAGGAGAATAAAACCTCACATCTTCAATGTTTCCTGAACAAACCTGACATTAGTAACCCATTGCTAAGTTCCGAAGACATCCTTATTGAGCATCTCCAACTAGGCCATCTTCAGTCTCAAGTTGGGGCCCTTAAGGTTGAAGAAAAAACAAATAATATATGGATAACTTAAAAAAAGAAATCTAAAGGTCTGTGAGCTTCAATTCCTACAATTCTGAGAGCAGTTTTAAAAGTTACAGATTGTAGGCCGGGCGCGGTGGCTCAAGCCTGTAATCCCAGCACTTTGGGAGGCCGAGGCAGGTGGATCACGAGGTCAACAGATCGAGACCATCTTGGTCAACATGGTGAAACCCCATCTCTACTAAAAATACAAAAAATTAGCTGGGCATGGTGGCACGTGCCTGTAATCCCAGCTACTCAGGAGGCTGAGGCAGGAGAATTGCCTGAACCCAGGAGGCGGAGGTTGCGGTGAGCCAAGATCACGCCATTGCACTCCAGCCTGGGTAACAAGAGTGAAACTCTGTCTCAAAAAGAAAAAAAAAAAAAAAAAGTTACAGACTGTATTGCTCCTGTGTGTCACTTTCAAAAAATAAAGGGGTAGAAAATAGTCTTAAAGGGAAAATTATATTTATATAGAAAGAATCCCAAAACGATACTGAATGTAAATATAGTGGTATACATACACTATATAAGGTCTACATAGTAAATATACATGGTGTATGTGTCTAATTATCTAGTAACCTCCCTATTACCTACCTATCTTTGGAGCCAGCAGAGTCATGGTGGAGAGCTTGGGCTCTGAAGTGGGACTGGGTGTGAACTGGCTCTGTCTTATTTTTGCTGTGTGACCTTGGGAAAGTCTGCTAACTTATATGTGCCTTATCTATTTTCTATTTTCTCATCTTGAAAATGAGAAAATCTCCTGTCTGGGCCCCTATTGGGAGGTATCCCCCAGTCAGGATACAAAAAAAAAAAAAGAAAATGAGAAAATCGATTGCTAACTCAAGTAGGGGTAGTGATGAATTAAAGAAACCTGAGGGGAGGAGGCAGAGGTTGCAGTGAACTGAGACCACATCACTGTACTCCAGCCTGGTCGACAGAGTGAGACCCTTTCTCAAAATAAAAAGTAAAAAGAAAGAAACCCAAAGGAGAGCTTTGGAAGAGGCGTGATCTGGTATAACTCTTTCTGGATCCTGGTTCAACATGTAGCAAAAATAGGGAAAATAAAAAACTGGTTTTGTACCTTGTTCCAAGGCAAACTAAAATCTGGAATTTGCCATCCTTCCCAATGTTCCTGGGTGCAGTATTAATAGCATTTACATAGTGGCAGAAGGTTTTGCAGGATGATTTCTGAATAAGGACATCATCTTCATTATCTAGAATCTGGTCAGTTGTTTCAAAATAAGCGACCACTTTCTCTGAGGAAAAAAGTCAGAATTACATCACAATGTATGTCAACACTTTGTATACAGAAGGATTCATCACTTAATTTATTATAGAAACCACTAATGATGCTTTGCATACAGCCAGTCCTGAAGCCTGTAACACTATTTTGTCATTGATTTCAGAGGTCCATGTTTCATAGTAGAACAATAAATATGCTCCCAGAAATTTATTTTCTAATGTAGACTGCATTCCAGAAGAGTGGAACATTTACTCCCTTTAAAGTAACTTCACAAAAGAGAAACTGGCAAAAAAAGAAAAATAACATCTTCTGTTAAGACTGGAACCTTCTAGGAGTAACCAGCAATGACATGGTAGCCATTGAGATAATACCCACTGTGTTCTAGTTACAGAATGACTGGCTAACACTTTGCAACAAGATCCTTGAAATGTACCTGAATAAATGTCTGACAAAGATAGATATATGTATACACACATGAGAAGCAGAAGCAATAAGATTCTAGGCATTCCAGAAGAAAAAAAAAATCACTCCTGTGGGTCTAGCTCTGTCAACTTTCCTTTTTTTGTCTAGTCTAAGTTAGATGAAATGAACTACTTCATCTAGGCCTTATTTAGAAAACACAAAATGATTAATTGCCCTTTTAAAGAAATTAGGAATTCTAGAAGAGCTGCATACCAAAAGAAAGATTACAAAACTTAGCAAGCTAGAGCAGAAACAAACACCCCAAAAGAGCTTTCTGTGATGATGAAAATGTTCTCTATCTACAAGGTCCAATTTGGTAGCTACATATGGCTACTGAGCACTTGAAATGTGGTCAGCGTTATTAAGAAAATGTAATTTACATTTCATTTAAATTTAAATAGCGACATGTGGCTAATGGTTACTGTACTGTTCAACATAGAGCTAGAGGAATCCTTTTAAAAAACTGGCCAGGCACAGTGGCTCACACCTGTAATCCCAGCACCTTAGGAGGCCAAGGCGGGTGGGATCACTTGAGGACAGAGTTTGGGGCCAGCGTGGCCAACATGGTGAAACTCTGTCTCTACTAAAAATACAAAAATTAGCCAGGTGTGGTGGAAGGCACCTGTAATCCCAGTTCCTCAGTGGCTAAGGCAGGAGAATCACCTGAACCCTGGAGGCAGAGGTTGCAGTGAACTGAGATGGGGCCACTGCACTCCAGCCTGGTTGGCAGAGTGAGACTGATCTCAAACAAACAAACAAAAAAGTTCTATCATGAGACTCCTTAGCTCAAAGCCCTCCAACAGCTTCCAACTTCATTCAGGATAAAGGCTCTCTCTCTCTGTCTGTCTCTCTTTCTCTCTCTCTCTCTCTGTATTCCAGTCACATTGGTCTTGGGGTTCCATGGAAACACTTCCGCTTTGGGGCTTAGCACCCGCAGTGCTGTCAATATGGAGTCCCTCCTCCCAGATATCTACATGGCTTACTTCCTCACCTACATGAAGTCTGTGTTCCAGTGTACCTTGACATTCAGTAGAGTCTAAAACCACCCCATTTAAAAGACCACTCCCCACTTTATTTCCTCTTATACTGCTCTATTTCTTTCCAGATCTTCTGACCTGCCATATGAATTACCTATTTGTTACATTTTTGTGTATTGTTTCCCACACTGATCTGAGTGTAAGTTTGCCAACTATAGGGATTTCTGTTTTGTTTACTAATGTATATCTTGAGTGACTCAAATAATGTTTGGAATATTGTGCATATTACAATTTGTTGAGTGAATTAAAAACAAGGATGGTACTTATTTGATATTTATTTATTATTATTATTATATATACTTTTTGAGACAGGGTCTCACTCTGTTGCTCAGGTTGGAGTGCAGTGGCTTGATCATGGCTGACTGCAGCCTTTGCCTCCTGGGCTCCTGGGTTCAAGTGATGCTCCTGCCTCAGCCTCCCAGGTAGCTGGGACCACAGGTGTGTGCTCCCACACCCAGCTAATTTAATATTTATTTAAAAATACATAAACCCTTATCACTGACCCTTAATTCATTCAGATTCCTGGGTCTTTGAGTTTCCTAAGAAAGGCTTCAGTGATGTTAAAGTAACATACATCTGCTTTATTTACCTATGAAGTCCCAGATGAAGACATTCTTGTGAAATATGCGGGCAGATTTGAACCCATGGTGAAAAACTTGTTCAAGGGCTGCAACCAGGCCATTTTCTCCACACAGCAACACGGTGAGGCTTCCTCTCTGTGGGGTATAACACACAGTGCCAAAGAAAAATCTCCTGCATCTATGTCTAAGAAAAACACTAGAGAAGCAAGTGCTGAAGGTAGCTATATGAAGCACGAAGCATATTTTTACAGCTACCAGAAAACCTACAAATGAAAATTCAAGCATCCCATATTGCCTCATGTATCACATATAAAAGCATCTTTAAAAGTCCCACTATACTAAGTTTTATAGCCCATAAATACCTCTTTTTCAGGTTTGTGAAAATGTTTCACAATATTGTTCACAGCTTCTCCAATTCCTTCTTGGATCTGCCCAGCATTGGGTTCTGTAAAATAACAAACAGTGGCTGCATTCTCATGGGAGAGAAATAAACCAAAGTACTATGGGACATCAACTGTGTCCACCTAGGCAGGAAATACGTCACCAAAGCAGGCTGGCTTTTCCAGGTGCTCCACAGAACTTGCCTTTGGCCAGTTTGGCCAAGTGGGAAGCATCCTGGCATAATGGAAAATAATCCAAGAGATTCCTAGATTCAAATCCCAGCATTATTATCTGCAATCTATAACCCAAGCCTAGTGTCTAACTTCCTCTGAGTTTGAGTTTCCTCAACTGAAAATAGGGAAAATACATGCCTCACTGGGAAAACTGATAAGTTATAGGAGTAAATAACCTAGCATGGTACTTGTCACAAAATGGAAGCAAGCACCCAAGCATGAGAAGCAAGACTGGGAAGTCCCAACATCACTCCTCAAATGTTCCCTTATGCTACCTACCTCCAAGCCCATTAGTGGGCACAGACTAAGGCTTGAGGAGCTCTGGATAGCTAACCTGGAGTTTGAAGATTTGCTGTTGTGTTGGGGGAAGATGCCAGGTACTCTGTGGCATCTGGGCCTGAAGCCCAGAACTCCCTCCCTCCCTGGCTAGTCAATCTGTTTCAGCACTTCTTCCTTCTGCCAGCCAGTACTTGCTCTTCTAGGGCACTTTCCTGAGGGATAGGTTGGTGGGCTGCTTGAATGGGACCTAAATCACTTTTGTCCACCAAATCCAAAGATTTTAAAAAAGGGTGGTAAACATTTCAGAAGTAGGTAACAAGAGAAAAGGCATATAATATTTTGGATTTTCTTGTAGTTCTAATTTACTCATCACAATATAAAAGAAAAACTATCCATCCTCACGTTTAGAATCTCTGAATTCATACTGCTCAAGGATATCTTGCATAAACGCTTCTTTCACTAAAATTCAAGTAAGTTTTTTCTACACTAATGCATAAAAACTGTTCAAATGAAAACCTCTTATAACTGAAGTACTGATACCCTAGCCTCTAGTTCCTAGTAGTTTCTTTACCTGGTAGTTTTTTGTTTGTTTGTTTGTTTTTCACTTTGATCTTTTTCTGAGTTTCTTTCTTTTAGACATCAAGTCTATTTTGAAAGCTGTCATCCATTCCAAAAGAGCTCTGATCGGTATTATTTGAAAACTGATTAAAAACTTTCAGTTCTCTGAATACCATCTTCATGTAACATACTGTGAGAAAACATCCTATCATCCATCCTGAGTCGTGGATGATTTTCTGCTTATAGAGTGAGAAAAGAAAGTTGGGGGATAAAGGCCTCTCAAATAATACCCCCATGAAATTGGACTGATTCAGATGGTATAATAATTTGGATGAATGGAGCTTAAACCTACTTTTAAATTTTAAATCAGCATAATTAAAATTTACCATATAATAAAAGTCACCAATTTTGATGAGCTTTGACAAATGGATAGTCATGTAATGACCACCATAATCATGATACAGAACATTTCCATCATCCCCAAAAGTCACCCTGCAGTCTTTTCAGTCAGTTACCTTCCTTAGCTCCTAACTCCTGATAACCACTGATCTGCTTTCTATTATTATAATGCTTTTCTGGAATTTAATATAAACAGAATATATAATATGCAATCTTTTGTTTCTGGTTTCTTTCACTGAGCATGCTTTTGCAAGTCATCCATGTTGTTATGTGTATCAACAGTTCATTTTAATATATCTCACTGGATAGATATCTGGTATCTATATCAGATACAGACTGCCTTTTTTTTTGAGACAGAGTTTTGCTCTTGTTACCCAGGCTGGAGTACAATGGCGTGATCTCGGCTCACCGCAACCTCCGCCTCCTGCGTTCAGGCAATTCTCCCACCTCAGCCTCCCGAGTAGCTGGGATTACAGGCACGCGCCACCATGCCCAGCTAATTTTTTGTCTTTTTAGTAGAGATGGGGTTTCACCATGTTGACCAGGATGGTCTCGATCTGTTGACCTCGTGATCTACCTGCCTCGGCCTCCCAAAGTGCTAGGATTACAGGCTTCAGCCACCACGCCCGGCCTGACTGCTTTGTTAATAAACTAAGGACCTATTATGTACCTTTGTTATTCTATTTGTGGTTATTAACTATAGCTAAAATAAAGCCCCTTCACTGATAAACTTCTGTAACATTTCCCTAAATACTGCCTCTTCATGTTTTGTGGCTGCTTTAATAGACTCACAGAACTTGGTGGTTTAAGTGACAGAAATATATTTTCTTGCAATTTGGGGGCCAAAAGTTAAAATTTAGTTATCACTGGGCAAAAGAAAAAAAATCGAAGTGTCAGCAGGGCTGCATTCCCTTCAAATTCTAGGAGAAAATTCTTTCCTTGCCTCTTTCAGCTTCTGGTGGCTGTTGGCATTCCTTGTTTTTTGTTTTTTTAAGAGACAGAGTCTCACTCTGTTGCCCAGGCTGGAGTACAGTGGCACAATATCAGCTCACTGTAACCTCCACCTCCCAGGTTCAAGTGACTCTCCTGTCTAAGCCTCCCGAGTAGCTGGGATTACAGACACCCACCACCATGCCCAGCTAATTTTTGTATATTTAGTAGAAACAGGGTTTTGCCATGTTGGTCAGCTAGTCTTGGACTCCTGACCTCAGGTGGTCCACCTGCCTCAGCCTCCCAAAGTGCTGGGATTACAGGCATGAGCCACTGTGCCTGGCCAGCATTCCTTTTTTTTTTTTTTTTTTTTTAAGACAGAGTTGTGCTTGCTTTGGCAGCACATATACTAAAAATATTGGAACCATATAGAGATACTAGCATGGCTCCTGCGCAAGGATGACACGCAAATTCGTGAAGTGTTCCATATTTTTCTCCATACTTGAATATGGAGCGTATGCACAGGTGAAGGAAATAACATTGTACTTTATAAACACTGTATTAGAAGTGGAAAATGCAATGTCTTACATAAAACTCTTAAAATTGGCACCAAAAAAAAGAGATAGAGACTCACTCTGTCACCCAGGCTGGAATGCAGTGGCACAAGCTCGGTTCACTGCAACCTTTACCTCCTGGGTTCAAGCGATTCTCATGCCTTAGCCTTCCAGGTAGCTGTGATTACAGGCATGCACCACATACCTGGTTAATTTCTGTGTTTTTAGCAGAGACGGGGTTTTGCTATCTCGAACTCCTGACCTCCAAGTAATCTGCCCACCTTGGCCTCCCAAAGTGCTGGGAAAGAATATATATGACAGGCTGAGCGCGGTGGCTCACGCCTGTAATCCCAGCACTTTGGGAGGCTGAGGCAGGTGGATCACAAGGTCAAGAGATCGAGACCATCCTGGTCAACAAGGTGAAACCCCGTCTCTACTAAAAATACAAAAAAAAATTAGCTGGGCATGGTGGTGTGCGCCTGTAGTCCCAGCTACTTGGGAGGCTGAGGCAGGAGAATTGCTTGAACCCAGAAGGTGGAGGTTGCAGTGAGCCGAGATCGAACCATTGCACTCCAGTCTGGGTAACAACAGCGAAACTCCGTCTCAAAAAAAAAAAAAGAATATATGTGACTGCGTGTAGGGCCCATGTAGGTAATTCAGAACAATCTCCTTATTTCACATCTGCAAATATCCTTTTTTCAACTAAGGCAACATTTACAGATTCTAGAGATTAGAATTTTATATTCTTGGGAGATATTATTCAGTCTACTAAAGCCCACATTAGTATAAATTAGAATTTTACTATGCTACTAAAAATGGCATGTGAACCTAGTATAATATTAATAAAATTCACTACTGGCTGGGCGCAGTGGCTCATGCCTGAAATCCCAGCACTTTGGGAGGCCAAAGTGGGCAGATCACCTGAGGACAGGAGTTTGAGACCAGACTGACCAATGTGGAGAAACCCCATCTCTACTAAAAATACAAAATTAGTTGGGTGTGGTGGCACAAGCCTGTAATCCCAGCTACCCTGGAGGCTAAGGCAGAAAATGCCTGAACCCAGGAGGTAAATGTTGCAGTGAGCCAAGATCATGCCATTGCACTCCAGCCTGGGCAACAAGAGCAAAACTCCATCTCAAAAAAAATAATAATAAAGAGAGACACTGGAAAGCTAGATAGCTAGATATGGCTATCTGGGAATACTGTAATATATAACTATTATTATTTCTCCTTTAAGTTTCAGGCCTTTGGTGGCACATGCTTGTAATGCCAGCATTTTGGGAGGCTGAAGCAGGCAGATCACTTGAGCTGAGAAGTTCAAGACCAGCCTGGGCAACAGGGCGAATGCCAGTCTATAAAAATAATACAAAAATTAGCCGAGTGTGATTTTGCGTGACTGTATTCCCAGCTACTTGGAAGGCTAAGGAGGGAGGATCATTTAAACCTGGGAGGCAGAGGCTGCAGTGAGCTGAGATTGCACCACTGCATTCTAGCCTGGGTAACAGAGTGAAACCCTGATTCAAAACAAAAGTTTCAGGCAAATATTTACTCATATTTCCACAGCTTAAGAAAAACATAGCATGCAGGTTTTTTAAAACTTAGATTTTAGAGCATGGTGGCTCACAACTATAATCCCAATACTTTGGAGGCTGAGATGAGCAGATCACCTGGGGTCAGGAGTTCAAATCCAGCCTGCCCAACATGGCAAAACCCCGTCTCTACTAAAAATACAAAAAAATTATCTGGGTGCGGTGGTGGAATCCTGTAGTCCCAGCTACTTGGGAAGCTGAGGCACAAGAATGGCTTGAAGCCAGGTGGCAGAGGTTGCAGTGAGCTGAGATTAGTCCATGCACTTCATTCTGGGTGACAGAGCAAGACTCCATCTCAATTAAAAAAAAATGAATTAAAAAAAATTAGATTTTCACATCTAAACTCTTCTGGCTTTGGAGTATTTATGATTTTCCTCAACTTTTTTCTTTTTAATATCTCCTCACTACATTTATTAATACAACTGTTTTCTGTCAAATGGTCACATGAGGCCTGTATGATATGAAGCACATAGGAAGACTTTAAATAAACTACTTACTGTTGTTTTTTCCTGTCAATGAAGTGATGCTCAATCTCCTAGCTGTGGTGGGTGACTTCTGCTGGGGTGGAGTCCGACACTGCTTTACTAGATCTTCATCTGATGTTGATGTCATCAATTCTCCAATTAGAATTCTTTCTAGGCTCCCATCATCAATGCCTTTCCCCAGCCACCGTCCACATGGGAATCTGGTAGGATAGAAAAAAGTTTTTTGGGATTTTTGAGACAGGGTTCTCATTCAGTCCCCTGAGTAGCTGGGATTACAGGTGTGCACCATCAAACCTAGCTAATTTTTGTGTTTTTTGTAGACAGTGGGTCTCACTATATCGCCCAGACTGGTCTTGAACTCCTGGCCTCAAGTGATCCTTTCATCTCAGTCTCCCAAAGTGTGGGGATTACAGGAGCCACTGCACCCAGTCAGAATATTTTCAAACTAGAAATTTATGTGGGAGTTAAGGCAAAGAAGAGGACAATGTTTCCATAGAGTAGTGTTGGCTGTGGCTGAGATCTTTTCCTCCTCCTAATATTATTTTAGGCTTTTTTTTCTGAGAGTTATACTAATCTTTTCAACACTTGTGGACTAAGCAATAGCAGCAAACATCTGCTGTTTTAAATAGTTTTTTGAGGCCGGGTGTGGTGGCTCATGCCTGTAATCCCAGCACTTTGGAAGTCTGAGGAAGGTGGATCACTTGATATTAGGAGTTTGAGACCAGCCTGGCCAACATGGCAAAATCCCATCTCTACTAAAAATATAACAATTAGTGGGGCGTGATGGTAGGGGCCTGTAATCTCAGCTACTCGGGAGGCTGAGGCATGAGAATTTCTTGAACTTGGGAGGTCGAGGTTACACTGAGCCGAGATCGCGCCATTGCACTTCAGCCTGGGTGAAAGAGAGAAACACTGTCTCATTAAAAAAAAAAAAAGGTTTTTTGGGGGGTAATTTTGTATGACTTAAACAAAAATAATCCCTCCCCCTAAAAAAACCCCTAAAATTCAGAAGGCAAGTGGAAGAGTTTAAACAATTCTTAAACCTTTTCTCATCTGAAGAATCTTAAAGAATTCTGAGTTCCCGAGGCCATTTACTTACCTGTACGTATGTCCTGTGATTTCATTTCTGACCATGACACAATCCACTAGCCATTTGGCTAACAGTCCTGAGTTATCATGACCAATCTGAACAGTGGTCAGTTTCCCCAAGTTCTGGCACTGTAAGGACAGGACCTTAGGTTATTTAGTACCCAATTCCATCTGGTTACATCTCAGCTTTTCAGGTACTTTGGTTCTGTCTAATTCAACAACTGCAGAGACCAACCCTACATAATGTATTCAGCTATCCACTAGAGAAATATATTCATTATGTATTCCTCGTTCTCAGGGAGCTCCCACATAATGAGATGGGAGACATATAGACATTACCAAATGAGGAGGGACTGTACACAGTGCTAGGTTAGGGATGTAAAAAGTGCTAGAAGAACGCTGGGGAGGGAACAGTTACTTCTACTTGGGGAACCCAGAAACATGACTGAGACAGTGACTTGTGCCTTGAAGGATGAGAATTTAAAAAAACAGGAGGCCGGGTGCGGTGGCTCACGCCTGTAATCCCAGCACTTTGGGAGGCCGAGGGGGGTGGATCATGAGGTCAAGAGATTGAGACCGAGACCATCCTGGTCAACATGGTGAAACTCCATCTCTATTAAAAATACAAAAATTAAGGCCAGGTGTGGTGGCTCAAGCCTGTAATCCCAGCACTTTGGGAGGCCGAGGTGGGTGGATCACGAGGTCAAGAGATCGAGACCATCCTGGTCAACATGGTGAAACCCTGTCTCTACTAAAAATACAAAAAATTAGCTGGGCATGGCGGCACATGCCTGTCATCCCAGTTACTCAGGAGGCTGAGGCGGGAGAATTGCTTGAACCCAGGAGGCAGAGGTTGCGGTGAGCTGAGATGGCGCGCCATTGCACTTCAGTCTGGATAACAAGCGCTAAACTCCATCTCGGGGGGAAAAAAAAAACTACAAAAATTAGCTGGGCATGGTGGTACATGCCTGTAGTCCCAACTACTTGGGAGGCTGAGATTTCGGTGAGCCGAGATTGCGCTATTGCACTCCAGCCTGGCAACAAAAGCGAAACTCCATCTCAAAAAAAAAAAAAAAAAAAAAAGAAAAAGAAAAGAGGAAAAAGATGCTGTTTAGATTAGTTACAGAGAGGTCAAGAAAACAATTATAGATTTTAAAAAGTACTGACACTGATATTTTTTCTTTTTTAAAAAAATTTTTGTGGGTACATAGTAGATATATATACTTATAGGGTACATGAGATGTTGGTATTTTTCTGTTCCAATAAGATACTCAGGCAGAACTGACCTCAGACAGCATATACAAGAAGTCTTTGAAGCTATTTTTCGAAAGGCATAGTTATCAGTAAGTTATCTTCACTGGCCCTTTGTGGACAAGTACAAAATAAAGCAATGATAATGGGAATAGTGAAAATAAACACTAACTAAATTGTGACTTCTAAAACCTGATAACGAAAAGATCACTTACTCCAACTATGTGTTGGATTAGAACATCTGGATTATAAGTTCTTTTTGGTTAATTTAAAATTTTTGTGGGTACCTAGCAAATGTGTATATTTATGGATTGAGGTGTTTTGATATAGGCATGCAATGCCTAATAATTACATCAGGGTAAATGGGGTATCATCTGTCACCTCAAACATTTATCTTTTGTGTGACAATCCAATTCTACTCATTTAGTTATTTTAAAATGTACAATTAAGTTATTTTTGACTATAGTCACCCTGTTGTGTTAGCAAATATTAGCTCTTATGCACTCTATCTTTTGTATGAATTAGAGCTATGAATTCTTAAAGCACTTTATTCTTTGTATGTCAGTGAGAAGGCATCCCCATGCTCTAGCTCAGGGATGATGGCATCTTGAATAGTTGTGCAGCAGAGATGGAAAGAAGTAGGTAGACATGAGAGAGACAGCTTAGAAATAGCAATGATGAGATTTTTAATGTAGTTCCATTATTGGTAGATGAAGAAAAGCCAAGGGTTTTAATATTTTATATACAGATGGCTGTGAGTCTACTGCATGGATAAGGCCAAACTGGGCTTCTAGGGGGCATCATGACTCTAAGTGGAAACTGCTATTCTGAGACCTCAAGAAACATGTGAATGGGACATTCAGTTAGTACCATTTCCTTCCTCAGACACAACAGTTATTTGTCCTCTTCCTCCACCAAGATCAACCTGTGTGTAGACCCAAACACATGGAACTACCCCACCAAGTAAAACCTGAAAATTGACTACAATATCAAAACGTTGTTTTTTGTTTTATTTTTGAGATAAGGTCTCGCTCTGTCACCCAAGCTGGAGTGCAGTGGCACAAACCTGGCTTCACTGCACCCTCTATCTCCTGGGTTCAAGTGACCTCAGCCTTGCAAGTAGCCACCATGCCTGGCTAATTTTTGTATTTTTTGTAGAGACTGGGTCTCACCATGTTGCCCTGGCTAGTCTTGGAACTCCTGGGCTCAAGCAATCCACTTGCCTTGGCCTCCGTAAGTATTGAGATTATAGGCATGAGTAATTGCACTCGGCCAAAAGGCATTTTAATAAACTCACTCTATAAATGTCACCATGTGTACTAAAATCCATAAGCACATGCTTGAACCCGGGAGGGAGAGGTTACAATGAGTGAAGATTACACCACTGCACTCCAGCCTCGGCAACAGAGCAAGACTCTGTCTCAAAATAAATAAACAAACAATAAATAAAATAAAATCCATAAGCATGAATATCAGCTTTCCTGTCCTTTTGCCAAAAGATGACCAGGTTTGGGCAGAAAGCATTTTACAGTAGTGGGGAGAACCACTGTGGAGAAAACATTTATTTGAGTATTTCTTGCTAGGATCAGTGCTAGGCCCTGAAAATAATGGGAGAAGACCTGGTAAAGCCCCAAAGTACACCATTATGAGTGAAAAATAGAGCTTCACAATGAAAATACGAAACAAATTAGTATAAGCTGCTTAGGCATATAATCACAAAAATGATCCTGCATGCTTTGAGTGCTCCTCTATTTTATTTGATTCAAGGAAAAATGAAAAAGCCACAGAATCCATCTGTAAAACTACACGTGATACTTTCTGCTAGAAAAGGTGTTAGCTGAACCCACCTCAAAAGTCATTTCAAGGAGGTTTTTGGGAATCTGCATTACTCCAGTGTCTCCTAGTTCTCCTGATACACAGATCCAGGGGTTTGATGTGATGATTGCATTGCTTAGCTTTTTGATTGGGATGATCACTGATCTATAGGGAATCACTGAAAGAAAAATGCAGAAATTAATAAAAGGCTAGAATAAAATTATCCTTATAACAAAACATACATTAAGAACTGTGTTGGTTTTCACTGATAATTTGCTTTTTATGATCTATCAAGATGTACTTACATGAAAAGTTGAGATCATAAAGTTTCAGTCTGGAAAGATGAGATCTAGTTTGTAAACCAGAAGTTTCAATACTTGTAGCAGTGGTTTTCACAGTATGTATATAATCACGTATGTATAGTGCATATATCACCATTAAATGTATGAACAATCTCAAGCATTTGTACTAGAATACCTAAAGATATAAACATTGACTGTGCATATTGTTTTAATTGCTTACATTTTCTTAAAAATTAATTTTGTACCAAAATCGAGTAGAAATGAACATGATTACTTATATGGTTTTATATAAAAAGAGGGGTGGATGACTTCTTGGACAGTACCCCCCTGTTGCTGAGTTTCTTGGGCAATGCTTTAAAGCACTGGACTTCAGAACTTTCCCATCCCAAGTTTACAGAACAATATGCAAAACCCACGAATAATAAAAAATGGAACCTCCACTCTGGACATACCATGAAGTTTATAAACCACAACTCGGAAAGCTATTAAGGTGACTCATGTGCAAGAGGAGCCTGGGGAAAGAGTCAAGATGGGGAAAGAGATCTGTATGAAACATTTTCCTTCTGAAGGCTCTTCCACAGGCACACCACTAGATGTCAATGTCCTATCACTGTCCTTTGCTCAAATATGGAAGCACCAAAGGTTGGTTATCAGGCTTGTCCTCCCTTCTTTCTTTTTTTTTGATGTGGAGTCTCTCTCCTGTTGCCCAGGATAGAGTGCAGTGGTGCAATCTCAGCTCACTGCAACCTCTGCTTCCCCGGTTCAAGCGATTCTCCTGCCTCAGCCTCCTGAGTAGCTGGGATTACAGGCACCTGTCACCACGCCCAGCTAATTTTCGTATTTTTAGTAGAAACGGGGTTTCACCAGGTTGGCCAGGCTGCTCTTAAACTCCTGACCTTGGCCTCCCAAAGTATTGGGATTACAGCCATGAGCCACCGTGCCCGGCCCTCCCTTCTCTTTTTAAAAAATGGGGACAGGGCCGGGCACGGTGGCTGAGGTCTGTAATCCCAGCACTTTGGGAGGTGGAGGCAGGTGAATCACTTAATGTCAGGATTTTCAGACCAGCCTGGCCAACATGGTGAAACCCCATCTCTACTAAACATGCAAAAAAAAAAACTCAGCCAGGTGTAATGGTACGCACATGTAATCTCAGATACTTGGGAGGCTAAGGGAGGAGAATCGCTTGAACCCAGGAAGTAGAGGCTGCAATCGCACTATTGCACTCTAGCCTGGACAAAAGATGAGACTCTTGACTTAAAAAAAAAAATGGGGCCAGGGCCAGGTGTGGGGGCTCATTTCTATAATCCTACCTAGCACTCTGGGACACTGATGTGGGTGGATCACTTGCACTCAGGAGTTCAAGACCAGCCTGGATAACAAAGTGAGAACTTGTCGCTATAAAAAAAATAAAAATAATAATTAGCCAGGTGTGGTGGTATGCACCTGTAGTCCCAGCTACTCAAGAGGATGAGGGGGGGATCCCTTGAGGCAGGATGGTCAAGGATGCAGTGAACTCTGACCCCACCACTGCACTCCAGCCTGGACAAGAGAGTGAGACCCTGTCTCAAAACAAAAAGGGAAGAAATGGTTTACGCACATAGCATTTTTGTCCATCACAGCTATACGCTTCTAGTTTTTTGTTTTCTAGAGACAGTATCTAGCTCTTGCTGCCCAATCTGAAGTGTGGCAGCCCAATCAGAGTTCACTGAAGCCCTGACCTCCTGGGCTCAAGTGATCCTCCCACCTCAGCCTCCCCAGTAGCTAGGACTACAGGTGCATGCTACTACACCTGGCTAACTTTATTTAATTAGAGATGGAGTTTCACTCTTGTTGCCCAGGCTGGAGTGCAATGGAATGATCTCGGCTCACTACAACCCCTGCCTCTTGGATTCAAGTGATTCTCCAGCCTCAGCCTCCTGAGTAGCTAGGATTACAGACACCCTCCACCTTGCCCAGCTAATTTTTGTATTTTTAGTAGAGAAGTGGTTTTTCCATGTTGGCCAGGCTGGTCTGAACTCCTGACCTCAGGCGATCCACCTCCCTTGACCTCCCAAAGTGCTGGGATTACAGGCGTGAGCCACCGAGCCCAGCCCCTATCTAACTTTTCTTTAACCTTTTTTTTTTTTTTGAGACGAAGTCTCACTCTGTCGCCCAGGCTGGAGTGCAGTGGCACAATCTCGGCTCACTGCGACCTTTGCCTCCTGCGTCCAAACGATTCTCCTGCCTTAGCCTCCCAAGTAGCTGGGACCACAGGTGCGTGCCAACACACCCGGCTAATTTTTTGTATTTCTAGTAGAAGCGGGGTTTCACGGTGCTAGCCAGGATGGTCTCAATCTTCTGACCTCGTTATCTGCCCACCTCAGCCTCCTAAAGTGCTGGGATTACAGGTGTGAGCCACCATGCCTGGCCAAACTTTTTTTTTTTTTTTTTGAGACAGAGTCTCACTCTGTCACCCAGGCTGGAATACATTGCTGTGATTTCGGTTTACTGTTAACTTCTGCCTCTGGGGTTCAAGCAATTCTCCTACCTCAGCCTCCCAAGTAGCTGGGACTTCAGGTGCACACTGCCACACCAGGCTAATTTCTTTTGTATTTTAGTAGTGACGGGGTTTCACCGTGTTGCCCAGGCTGGTCTTGAACTCCTGAGCTCAGGCAATCCACCCACCTCGGCCTCCCAAAGTGCTAGGATTATGGGCATGAGCCACTGTGCCTGGCCCTAGCTAACTTTTTAATTGTTCTTTTGTAGACAGGGTCTTACTATGTTGCCCAGGATGGTTTTGAACTGGACTCAAGCGATCCTCTCGCCTTGGACTCTCAAAGTGCTGGGATTCCAGGCATGAGTCACTACACCTGGCCTGTTTTATAATATAAAAAATTTTTTTTGAGACAGGGTCTCACTCTGTCACCCAGGCTAGAGTGCAGTGACACGATCTCAGCTCACTGCAACCTCCATCTCCTGGGTTCAAGTGATCCTCTCACCTCAGCCTCCTGAGTAGTTGAGACCACAGGTATGCAACACTAAGCCCAGCTATTTTTTTTTTTTTTTTTTTTTGTAGTTATAGTAGAGACAGGGTTTTGCCATGTTGCCCTGGCTGGTCTTGAGCTCCTAAGCTCAAGAGATAGGCCCACCTTGGCCTCCCAAAGTGTAAGATTACAGGCGTGAGCCACCTGCCATGTATGTATGTATGTATTTCTTTGATGGAGTCTCACTCTATTGCCCAGACTGGAAAGCAGTGGTGCAACCTCTGCTGCCCAGGTTCAAGTGATTCGCCTGCCTCAGCCTCCTGAGTAGCTGGGATTACAGGCATGTGCCACCACGCCTGGCTAATTTTGTATTTTTAGTAGACACAGGGTTTTATCATGTTGGTCAGGCTGTTTTCAAACTCCTGACCTCAGGTGATCCACCCACCTCAGCCTCCCAAAGTGCTGGGATTACAGGCATGAGCCACTGCACCCAGGATTACATATTTTTTGAGATGGAGTTTTGCTCTGATGCCCAGGCTAGGGTGCAGTGGGGCGATTTCGGCTTACTGCAACCTCCACCTCCCAGGTTCAAGCAAGTCTCTTGCCTCAGCCTCTGGAGTAGCTTGGATTACAGGCATGCGCCAACTATGCCCAGCTAATTTTTGTACTTTTAGTAGAGACAGCGTTTCTCCATGGTGGCCAGGCTGGTCTCGACCTTCTGACTTCAGGTGATCCGCCGCCTCTGCCTCCCAAAGCGCTGGGATTACAGGCATGAGCTACCATGCCCAGTCTGGTTTTCTTTTTAAAGTAGGGTAGAATCAATATTTTTTGTTGGTATCCTTGGTATTTCTTCTCATTTGATCATAAGAGGCGGTGTTTGAAGCCCTGCTTGAAAGATCTACATATAGGATAAAAAACATTTACTGAAGGTGCCTAGATACAGCCTCACAGTATGAGCTCATGGTTCAGTGCACTCTTAGATGAGGAAATTGCATTAGATATATGGTTCATTTCCTTAATTTTACATAAATGGCTTTTTTATGTTAGGTGAATAGTCTCCCTTCGTGTCCTTTTATTTTGGCTTTAGGACAGGAAAATGTCAGAGAAAAGGCCATACTTTCATGGTTTAGTAATCATCGGCATCAAATGGGTTTTGAAACTGAAAGCAGAAGAAGTTAGCGTAAGACTGTATTAAGTGCCAGAGGCTTGTCTCATTTCTTGCATTGACAGGATTAGAAAACCTGCAGAAAAAGGCATGTTTAGGGTCAGCAGTTCTGTGGTTGTGAAAGGCCCACAGATGCACAACAGTGATTTCATAGTTTAAGTAAGGAAAAGCAATATGATTAAATTTAAAATTTTCTTTCATGAAGAATTCCTCAAATTGAAAGAGTAACTCAGATGAAGAGAAATCTACAGATATAAGGAGGATCTTAGGAATCCTAACAACTTCTACTACTATTTCTTATTTATTTAGAGACAGAATCTCACCCTGTAGCCCAGGCTGGAGTGTAATGGCATGATCTTGACTCACTGCAACCTCTGCCTCCCAGGTTCAAGTAATTCTCCTACATCAGCCTCCAGAATAGCTCAGACTATACGCATGCGCCACCACGTTCGGCTACTTTTTGTATTTTTGGGTAGAGATGATTTTTTGCCATATTGCCCAGGTCAGTCCCAAACTCCTGACCTCATATGATCCACCTGCCTTGTCCCGTCCCAAAGTGCCGGAATTACAGGCATGAGCCACTGCACCTGGCCTCTTTGATTTAAAAACTGTATATAACTTTTTAGTTTCTTGTACCTGCAGTAACCTAATCAACAAATAGTAACTTGACAGGATTACAGGCTGGTCTAATCTCCATTCCAATTCTCTTTTCCTTTGCCATTACCAGAGACTGGAAAGCTAAAACCTACACAATTCTGGCCAGTGAAATGTTAGTGATATTTATTGAGATTTTTTTGGAAAATTATGTCTTTCTAGCACAGATTCTGCTCCTCCCTGGCACTCTCTCCTTCCTGCTGGAAGGTATGTTGAGAACAGCCATGCTGAAACTATGAGGTAACTAGCACACATGGAGCATGTCTAAGGGAGAAGGGACAATGAGCCTGGGTCAGTGACAGCACTGCCCGCTGCCTACCTTTAGAGCTTTATTATGTAACTGAAATTACTAAGCTGTTTCAACCATAGGTTTTCAAGTTTCTGATACCTGCCACTAAATGCAATCCCTAATTGATAGAAGTAAAAATTCTCCAAAGTAGGAAAGAAGACCCACTGCAAATAAAAATTAGCAATGAAGGAAAGAATAAATGCTATAATTTGGCTTTCTATAAAAAGATACATCTCTTGGCCAGGTGCTATGGCTCACGCCGGTAATCCTAGCACTTTGGGAGGCCGAGGTGGGTGGATCACCTGAGGTCAGCAGTTTGAGACAAGCCCGGCCAACATGGTAAAACCCTGTCTTCACTAAAAATACAAAAATTACCCGGGCATGGTGACACATACCTGTAATCCCAGCTACTTGGGAGGCTGAGGCAGGAGAACTGCTTGAACCTAGGAGGTGGAGGTTGCAGTAAGCCGAGGTGACGCCACTGCACCCCAGCCTGGGCAACAGCGCCAGACACTGTCTCAAAAACAAACAAAACAACAACAACAAAATCTCCAGGTCAGGCATGGTGGCTCATGCCTGTAATCCTAGCACTTTGGGAGGCTGAGGCAGGTGGATCACTTGAGGTCAGGAGTTTGAGACAAGCCTGGCCAATATGGTGAAACCCCGTCTCTACTAAAAATACAAAAATTAGCTGGGTGTGGTGGGATGTGCCTGTAATTCCAGCTACTTAGGAGGCTGAGGCAGGAGAATCACTTGAACCTGGGAGGTGGAGGCTGCGGTGAGCCAAGATCACGCCACTGCACTCCAGCCTGAATAACAGTGAGACTCGGTCTTAAAAACAAAAAAAAAAAAACCCAAAAAAAACTCCAATCAGCATTTCCTTCCAAAGTTGAATGATGTCTAATTATATAAGTGTATTATTATCATATACAGATACTTTGAATTTGTGTTTTAGTTAAGATACTGAAATATTCATTTATAAAACACTCCTTTTCACATATATTATAGGTAACATTTCCTATCAAAGACTAAGTTTCTTGGGAAGCAATCTCTGAGTCAGGAATTAGCATGCACAGTGCTGCTCCTGGGATCAATGTGTGAGAAGGAGAGCAGGACTGGTTAAGCAAGATGTTAAGCTTTGAGGCAGTATCAATGAAGTCCTCATCTGACCTCATCTGAACAAAGCTCTGGGACAGCCCTTTGTTCAGTCATGGGATGCTAGCTGGCCCTGGCAGAAGGGATCATCTCTAGTGAGGTACTTTTCTTTAGTAAGGCATTCCCCACCGCCTGACAGCCAAGAGTTTCCTGTAGCACTCCTGGCATTTGGGGAATATCCTTTATTCCTAAACAGAGATCTGGGGGTATGTCACAGTGTCACATGTACTAAGGCATATCTTGTGCTTAGAAATATAAATGCTTTTATTCCATTAGTCACCTCAGTAACCCCTCACTTAACAGTCAATTCTCTAGACTTACTGATAGTAGTGAACACACTGGTGAAGCAGAAATAGTCCACAGCATTGAGAGAAAGAAGGTGGTAAAGAAACTGCTCTCTTTCTTCTTCACAACGTAGAAATGCATATCGCTTATAAAGCTTCCTAGGAAAGGGTAAGACAAGCACAAGACAATAGTGTCAAAGAAAATAAGACAGTAGTATCATGTATTTCTCATGCTTTTCATTATGTCTTTCTGTTTTTTAGATGGAGCTTCTCTCTTGTTACCCATGCTAGAGTGCAATGGCATGATCTCAGTTCACTGCAACCTCCGCCTCCCAGGTTTAAGCAATTCTCCTGTCTCACCATCCTGAATAGCTGGGATTATAGGCATGTGCCACCACGCCCAGTTAAGTTTTGTATTTTTAGTAGAAGAGGGGTTTCGTTATGTTGGCCAGGCTGATCTCAAACTCCTGACCTCAGGTGATTCACCTGCCTCAGCCTCCCAAATTGCTAAGATTATAGGCATAAGCCACTGCGCCTGGCCATCTTTTTCTGTCTTTTGTTTTCTTCCCATTACAACTTCTTTTTTCTAAGATGGGGTCTTGCTATATTGCCCAGGCTGGCTTTGAACTCTTGGACTCAAGTGATCTTCCTGTCTCAGTCTTGCAAAGTGTTGGGGGATTACAGACATGAGCCACTGAGCCTGGCCCCCATTATGCCTTGGCTAAAAATAAATAGCTCCTCTTAGACAAATACCTTTAATCTTGAAAGAAGAGATAATTTGGCTTGGCATAGTGGCTCATGCCTATAATCTCAGCACTTTGTGAAGCAGAGGCAGGTGGATCACCTGAGGTCAGGAGTTTGAGACTAGCCTGACCAACATGGAGAAACACTGTCTCTACTAAAAACACAAAATTAGCCAGGTGTGGTAGCGCATGCCTGTAATCCCAGCTACTTGGGAGGCTGAGGCAGGAGAATCGCTTGAACCCGGTAGGCGGAGCTTTCAGTGAGCTGAGATTGCACCATTGCACTCCCGCCTGGGCAACAAGAGTGAAACTCCATCTAAAAAAAAAAGAATAGGCAATTCATAAAAACGGACAGTTAATATAACACTTTCAATTTAATTAGTAATTAAAGGAAAAAAATGCATCTATTTTAGTAATTAAAGAAAAAATGCATCTATTGTATCTATCAAACTAATAAAGACTTAAAAGTGATGACCAGTGTTGACAAGGAAGAAATGATGTCACTCTCACAGCTGGTGGGACTGAAAATTTCAGGAAAGCAATTCAGGTAACCATTATTTTAAACCAATCATATCCTTTGACTCATCAGTTTTACTTTTAGAACTCAGTCCTAAAGATACAGATGAAACGGGGCAAAGATTTCATTAAAAACTTAAAGTCTATTAGTGTCCCCCCACCTTGCTTTATTTGAGATGAGGTCTTGCTCTTTCACCCAGGTGGGAGTGCAGTGACACAGTAACAGCTCACTGCAGCCTTGACCTGGGCTTGAGTTAGCCGCTCATCTCAGCCTCCCAAGCTGCTGGGACCACAGGTGCATGCTACCATGCCAGCTACTTTTTTATTTTTAGTAGAGATGGAGTCTCACAATTATTGTCCAGGCTGGTCTTGAACTCCTAGGCTTAAGGTGGTCCTCCCACCTTGGCCTCTCAAAGTGCTGGCATTACAGGAGCCACCACGCCCAGCCTAGTGTCATTTTAAAGACGGGAAAAAGAGAGATACAGGAAAGTTAAGTATCCTGTCCGAGGCCATTCAAACAGTAAATAGGGAAGGCAATATTCGAACACAGGCATTTGGACCTCAGAGTTTAAACTCTTGTGATACGGTGAAACGTTTATGGTATACTGTTAATCTAAGAAAAAGGATGATATTGAATTGCAACTATAGTATATCTTAATAAGAGAACATGCACAGCATAAACGTACAGAAAAAAATGTGAAATACTCAGTATTATTCTTTATATACCAGGATTATAAGTGATTATCATTTTCCTCTTTGCACTTTGGCCTCTATAGGCATAAATAACTTTTTTTTTTTTTGAGATGGAGTTTCACTCTTGTTGCCCAGACTGGAGTGCAATGGCATGACCTCGGCTCACTGCAACCTCTTGCCTCCTGGGTTTAAGCAATTCTGCTGCCTCAGTCTCCCAAGTAGCTGGGATTACAGGAATGTGCCACCGTGCCCAGCTAATTTTGTATTTTTAGTAGAGACAGTGTTTTTCCATGTTGGTCAAGCTGGTCTTGAACTCCTGACCTCAGGGGATCTGCCAACCTCGGCCTCCCAAAGGGCTGGGATTACAGGCATGAGCCGCCGTGCCTGGCCTTTATTTTTTTTTGACACGGAGTCTCACTCTGTTGCCCAGGCTGGAGTGCAGTGGCGTGATCTTGGCTCACTGCAACCTTTGACTCTCTGGTTCAAGCGATTCTCCTGCCTCAGCCTCCTAAGTAGCTGGGATTACAGGCATGTGCCACCATGCCGAACTAATTTTTCTATTTTTAGTAGAGATGGGATTTTACCATGTTGGCCAGGATGGTCTTGATCTTCTCATCTTGTGATCTGCCCGTCTTAGCCTCCCAAAGTGCTGGGATTACACATAAGCCACCAAGCCTGGCCAATAATTTTTATAATTGGAAAAAAAACCCAAACATACAAAAACAAAAAAATTCCAGTTTTAAGAAAACAAGATCAGGTTTACAGGCTCTATGTGACACTTCATTGTTTATCAAACCTACTCTTTGGACATTAAGACTCATCTGAAAATGCTCCAGGGGGTCTGTAATCCAGGTGTGATATGTACAAATGCAAAATTACAAAAAGCATTGAGTTACCATGATGAGACTCTAATAGATGTCATGTTTGAGGTCTTTGTTGAATTCTCTGCATAACTTCGCTCCTGAGAAGTCAAAGTCCTTAGCCTTCAAGTTAGCACTAATGTAAATATGGGCAATATATTTCATCTAAGACAGCGTCTTCCTTTTTTTTCTAAGACAGGGCCTCGCTCTGTTGCCCAGGCTGGACTGCAGTGGCACAATCTTGGCTCACTGCAACCTCCACCTCCCGGGCTCGAGTGATTCTCGTGCCTCAGCCTCCCAAGTAGCTGGGATTACAGGCATGTGCTACCACACCCAGCTATTTTTTTTGTATTTTTTGTAGAGACGGGGTTTCACCATGTTGGCCAGGCTGATTGATCTCGAACTCCTGACCTCAAGTGATCTGCTTACCTTGGCCTCCCAAAGTGTTGGGATTACAGGTGTGAGCCATTGCACCTGACCTCAAAGAGTGTTTCTTGATAGAGTAAATAGAAGCAATTAAAACGGTTAACAATTAGCTGACAAGTACTTCACTGGTTTCCTGGCTCTAAAGCACTGGTCCCTAACCTTTCTGGCACCAGGGACTGGTTTCATGGAAGATAATTTTCCCATGGCCGTGCAGGGGCTGGGGATGGGGAGGTGGATTCAGAATAAAATTGTTTCACCTCTGATCATCAGGTATTAGAGTTGTGCTCCTTTGATAATCTAATGCCACTGATCTGACAGGAGGTGGAGCTTAGCTTGCCCTCAGCTCATCTCCTGCTGCACGACCCTGGTTCCTAAAAGGCCACTGAGCAGTACTAGTCCATAACCCAAGGGTTGGGAACCCTTGCCCTAAACTACTAAATGCAAGGCTCTCAGAAGAAGCTCTTTACTGGGACCTCCTCATAGTACTTTTTTTTTTTCTTTTTTTACTCCAGGTTTTGTCTGCATTTTTTTTTACAATATAATGTTTATGTAAATTCAAACTATCTTTTAGATGTTACCATCAGCTTGTGTAAACTAGCTAGCTTTTTGCCTGATTATAGCAGAGCAATCTGGCTTTTTTTTTTTTTTTCCTTGAGACAGAATCTTGTGCTACTGGAGTGCAGTGATGCGATTTTGGCTCACTGCAACCTCTACCTCCCAAGTTCAAGTGATTCCCCTGCCTCAGGCTCCTGAATAGCTAGGACTACAGGCGTGCATCACCACACCCTGCTAATTTTTGTATTTTTAGTAGTGACAGAGTTTTACCATGTTGGCCAGGCTGGTCTCTAACTCCTGGCCTCAGGTCATCTGCCTGCCTTGGCCTCCCAAAGTGCGGGGATTACAGGCATAAGCCACTGAACCTGATCTTTTTTGAGACAGGGCTATTGCTCTATTGTCTAGGCTGGAGTGCAGTGGAACAATCTTGGCTCACTGCAACCTGTGCCTCCTGGGCTTGAGCAACCCTCCCGCCTCAGCCTCCCAAGTAGCTAGGTCTACAGGCACACAGCACCACACCTGACTAATGTTTGTATTTTTTGAAGATACAGGGTTTCACCATGTTACCCAGGCTGGTCTTGAACTCCTGGACTCAAGTGATTCACCCACCTTGGCCTCCCAAAATGTTACGATTACAAGCAACAGCCACCACACCCAACTGCAATCTGGCCTTTGGCTGTTAAATTTGGTGTGTCCTTCCCAAAATAATCAAGTATTACATCAAGACAGAATTTTATTTATTTATTTATTTTGAGATGGAGTTTTCACTCTTGTTACCTAGGCTGGAGTGCAATGGCATGATCTCGGCTCACCGCAACCTCCGCCTCCTGGGTTCAGGCAATTCTCCTGCCTTAGCCTCCTGAGTAGCTGATTACAGGCACATGCCACTGTGCCCAGCTAATTTTTTGTATTTTTAGTAGAGACGGGGTTTCACCATGTTGACCAGGATGGTCTCGATCTGTTGACCTCGTGATCCACCCACCTCGGCCTCCCAAAGTGCTGGGATTACAGGCTTGAGCCACCGCGCCCCGCCAAGACAGAATTTTTAAAGCACATGCCTGTTAGATAAAGAAGAACCCATGTGCACAGGAAATAGCACTTCATACTGAAGAAGCCAGTTTGTCAGTTTAAGCAACTTGCTTTGTATACACACAGGTATGCATACAAAATGTAACAAATGTATCAAAGATAGTATCTTACTTGGTGAGTGGTTGGTTAGAAAGCAACTGCTTAAGATGCTGGGACAAGAGCTTCTTTTCTAGAGATAGTCTTATCCATGCCCGAGCTCGTCCAACATCAGTCTTGATCTCACTCATGTTCTGAATATGCCTAAAGAATGGTGGCAACATCAAAGATACAGATCTTAAGGATAACCCTGACTAGAAAAGAAGAGTGAACAGTACTGGACACAGAAACGATTCTTTTATACTTAAAGGAAGCAATGGATAATATACAAGTGATGTTAATTAAATCTCTGAAGGTTTCATCTGAATCATGAAGTTAGTCTCACATCATAATTGCCATTACAACACAAGCACAGAGACAATGTCATTAAGATAAAGCATTTAACACCCATTCACTCTTTCAGGCTTTATTATGTCCTTGTAGCAGACTCATAGATACCTGTAAATAAGCATTTGGTTATTACTGATTCTCAAAAAAAAAGTAATAAAACAGGGTGAATACTCAAGTTTCTTTTCAAAATAATTGTTCTATAGTGTAATTGAATATCAGCCACAACTTCAATCCACTGAATTATTTTTCAAGTTGCACTGGACAACACATGGAAAATATGAAATCTTACTTTTTATGGCATTAGAGAAAATAAGTTAGACTGCATTGATAATCTTTAATTGGTTAATTATTTTTAAATATTTTTGAAATACAAGGTCTTGCTATGTTGCCCAGGCTGGTATCAATCTCTTGGTCTTAAGTGATCCTCTGCCCTCAGCCTCCCAAAGTGCATGACTCACTGCACTCGGATCTTATGACATTGCTTTAAACCCATACACTGTAAGAGTTGACTAAGTATTGTACCTAAATTATTTAAATGAAAAAAGTCTCTGCACTTCTCATTCAATAAATCTGTAAGATACGGTGATGTCTTGTAAAGATTTCTTAACAATAACTGCAAGTCATGATTCTCAGATCTGTATTTGCTTCAAATTAAGTCTACCTGATTGCAACTGTTCTGCCACACATCCTACCATTATTTGCACATTTTTTTTTGTATTAGTGGGTAGTAGGTATTTAACGGAGTTTTAAAAACTGAACAAAAGAAGTTATGAAATAGTTTAGGGTGGGCACGATGGCTCACGTCTGTAATCCCAGCACTTTGGGAGGCCGAGGTGGGAGAATCACTTGAGCCCAGGAGTTCAAGACCAGCCCGGGCAACACAAGACTCCGTCTCTACTAAAAATCAAAAAAATTAGCTGGGCGTGATGGCAGGTACCTGTAATCCCAGCTACTTGGGAGGCTGAGGCAGAAGGAGTGCTTGACCCTGGGAACTGAAGCTGCAGTGAGTGGTGATTGCATCACTGAACTCCAGCCTGGGTGACAAAGCAAGACCCTGTCTCAAAATTAAAATAAAAAAAAAATAGTTTAGAGATGCTTTAACTCAGCTGCATTTTCCATTTGGATTTAATGTCAGGAAAGAATACAATGGTATAAAAATAAAATAAGCAAAATCATAAAAAATGCTTCCTTCAGAATACATAAGCAAAAAATACACAGACATAATTATTTGAGCAATTTAGTTAAAAGCCACAAAATACTTCAAAGTTATCAGCACATGCTAACACATGCATTAATAACAAATACCTCATGTCCTGGATAAGAGAGACCCTGAGTGTTGGCAACATAACTCCTGAGTCAGATTTTCTTCTTTCTGGTCCTAGGGCAACTATGTAGAAAAATACCAGCAACATATTAGAAAAGCAACAAAAAATATACATAGTACAAACTAAATACTTTGAAACTGTTTTGATAAGAACAAAATTTAAAAACAATTAATTAAAAAAATTTAAACTTCAGGGCATATACCGATGCATTTTTCTTTTTTTGAGATGAGTCTTACTCTGTTGTCCGGGCTGGAGTGTAGTGGTGTAATCTTGGCTCACTGCAATCTCCGCCTCCCGAGTTCAAGCCATTCTCCTGCCTCAGCCTCCTGAGTAGCTGGGATTACAGGTGTGTGCCACCACACCTGGCTAATTTTTAAAAATTTTTAGTAGAGATGGGATTTCACCATGTTGGCCAGACTGGTCTCAGACTTCTCATCTCAGGTGATCTGCCTGCCTCGGCCTCCCAAAGTGCTGGGATTACAGGCATGAGTCACCGCACCTGGCCTCATTTCTACTTTTTTAGCAGAAAAAAAGTGGCAGAAGAGATGGACACTAGAGAATGCTTTTAAACTTGATCTGGATCTTTATAAATATAGTTACAGCCAGGGACAGCAGCACCTTGTCATTCTGATTACAGGAGCTCCAGGACAATGTAGTCAACTCATTCCTAGCTGTCTGATTAAATACATTTTAAACACTAGATTTCTAACAATAAACACCACATTTAGGGTGGTGTTGCCTTCTAGAGGCAGTGAGGGAAAAGGAATTAAGGATGAATAAAAGGGTCTTTAAGACCAGCACAGTGCACTTTGGGAGGCCAAGGTGGGCGGATCACCTGAGGTCAGGAGTTTGAGACCAACCAGACCAACATGGAGAAACACTGTCTCTACTAAAAAAACAAAATTAGCTGGGTGTGGTGGCTCATGCCTGTAATCCCAGCACTCTGGGACGCTGAGGTGGGTGGATCACTGGAGGTCAGGAGTTTGAGACCAGCCTGGCCAACATGGCAAAACCCTGTCTCTACTAAAAATATAAAAATTAGCTAGTCATGGTGGTTAGCGCTGTAATCCCAGGAACTTGGGAGGCTGAGGCAGGAGAACTGCTTGAACTCGGGAGGCAGAGGTTGCAGTGAGCCAAGATTGTACCACTATACTCCAGCCTGGGTGACAAGAGCGAGACTCCATCTCAAAAAAAAAAAAAAAAAATTTACTTTTTTAAAAAAACATTTCTGAATGTGCAAAGTAATTCATACTTTTTGAAAAGGTTCTTAAATGACAAATTCAATATAAAGCATTTTATCTCAATTAGCTTCCCACAGTTACTTCTACTTTTTGTGAAATAAATGGTTATTTTACATAAAGAAAAGCAGGCTCCCTGCGTTGTGAAAAATACATAGTAGGTAGAACACTTAGCTTAAGAAATCCTACATAATTCTAATTAGCTAACAATTAAGATACTTATAACATGTTACATCATCTATAAATTGACGAAGAGCTTTGCCTCCTGAAATTTTTGAGACATATGTACATATTTTTTCCCTGAAAAATCATTAATGCTGGTTATAAAACTTTTTTTTTTTTTAATGGAGTCTTGCTCTGTCACCCAGGCTGGAGTGTAGTGGCACCATCTCACCTCACTATAACCTCTGACTCCGGGGTTCAATTGATTATCCTGCCTAAGTCTCCCGAGTAGCTGGGATTACAGCCATGTGCCACCACGCCTGGCTAATTTTTGTATTTTTAGTAGAGATGGGGTTTCACCATGTTGGCCAGGCAGGTCTCAAGCTCCTGACCTCAAGTGATCTGCTTGCCTTGGCCTCCCAAAGTAGTGGGATTACAGGTGTGACCCACTATACCTGGCATAAAACTCTTAAGAAAAAAAATATTCTAATGCTAGTGAGAGTAATGTATACTTGCAGGGTTGTTTACAATTCATTGGGGGTTTTCACACAATACCTTACTTGATCAGCATGACAGTTTCAGCCTAGCTAATCTTATTTTCCCTACTTTATAGACGAGGAAGCAGGAGATCAGAAAGGGCAAATGATTTTTTCCAAGGTCTCACAGTTAGTAAGTAATATTGCTCCTTCTACTTTATCCCATTATTAGCAAAATGAGTAAATTTTAGCTTGAGAGAGAAAGAGATCAAGACAAGGCCCCACAGTATTGTGTCTTCCCATAGTCCAATGCTGCCAGTTCTTTATCAATGATCTTATACCTGGTGATTCTGCAAGGTGCTCTTGTTTCTCTTCTCTGTCCTGAAACTGAATTAAATGTGACCACAAAGCCGACTTCCCCTGAAAGGACAAGGTGTGTAAACATTTCATTTTATAAGAAACAATTCATCAAAAAATAATTTCTCATCCAAATCATTCATATTCCAATAGCCATTTAGAAGTTTGATGACCCAAGCTCACCCACTCCTAGCTGTGTGACATTCTGAACATCTTCTGCATGTATTATAAAGGTCATCCTGTGCCTCACGGAGAAGACTGGCAAGAGCCTCAGGAAGGGAAGCAGCTAAGCAAAGGGGCAGCATGGGAGGCAAGAAGATTTCTGATGGCAGCTTAGTTGTTACTTAGTTGTATGTAATTAGGGCTGTCTACAGTGGTTACATTAGTAACCACAGAATTAAAATGCTCTAGCAGAACAGAATGTACTCGTTTACATCTACATGTAAAATATGTTTGGATATATGAAGTGGCAATGAGAGAGAAAAAATCGATGTGAGAGGAGAAAGAGAAAAAGGGAGGAAGAAACATGCACACATCAGGAAAAAAAAACACAATGGGAGACTAGAGAGAGAGAGACAAAAGCAAAGAGATCATTTGAATTTTTCACCCTGAATTATTAGATAACTTAAAATGGTAAGGAACTGTTAATTCTGGCTACTAGAGTTTTTTTCCTGGATAGTGACAAAAGCAAACATTTAATGGAACTTACTAGGGATACAGCCTCTGCAATGAATGTACTATTTTATCCTTTCCTGCTTAGCAGGAAAGATCCCCAAAACACCTCCTGCTCATGGGTTATATTTTCATTTTCTGAAATTAAAATGCCTGTGGCACTTTTCTGGTCCTCTTGTGACAAAATAACCTATTTTTTTTTAATGACATATTTTTCTTCTTGTTACATTTCTTCACAGGGCTCTTAACTGGCCATGTCACCAGGACCTCATAAACTGTTACCTGTTTGACCTGCAAGCCATGGCTCCATATCCTCTCCAGCAGGTCACAGAGGCTGGCGATCAAGGTATTCTCCTCCAAGCCAGTGATGTTTGCTTCTCCATGGCCAAGTTCCACCGCTTCGTGTCCCATCTTCTCTACCAACATGCGTTTTGTCTAAGAATATCACATGCAGTCATAAGGCACCCCAGCAGTGAAATCAAAACCAACAAGTCAATTACTGAAGTAGGAGACTTGGCTTCCCTTCATAATACTTTTATTTGCAGATTTGTAATCACCTTGGATTACAAGTCTTAATCTCTGTGGTAAACTAACTGGAGTAATATAATTTATATGTTACTATTTTGTCAGAGAAATGGAGTGTGACTAAAGAGAAAATAAGGTAATATTTATAAGGCATCCCCATGTTAAAAAGATGCTTATGTACAACAATTGTCAAAGTATTAACTTCTGTGATATAAGGGAATTACAGCAGACCTAGAAAGTGTGCTGTCAGGGCTGAGCACGGTGGCTTACTCCTGTAATCCCAGCACTTTAGGAGGCTGAGGCGGGTGGATCACCTGAGATAGGAGTTTGAGACCAGCCTGGCCAACATGGTGAAACTCTATCTCTACTAAAAATACAAAAAGTAGCTGGGCAGTAGTGGTGTGCCTATAATCCCAGCTACTTGGGAGGCTAAAGCAGGAGAATTCCTTGAACCCAGGAGGTGGAGGTTGCAGTGAGCCAAGATTGTGCCACTGCACTACAGCCGGCTGGGTGATAAAGTGAAAAACAAACAAAAAGAAAATGTACTATGAGAATATGGAACCCCATCATGCCACCACAACCTGCCTTATCACTGCCCCAGCATCTTAGCATACTAAAGATTCTTGCATTTAGTTTGACTGCACTTAGGTAAAAACCACAATAAAAATGGGCAGCTCTAAAGTTTTTGAGAACTCTAACTTGTGAATGGACCAGGACTTTTCTTCTATTTTCCTTTTTTATCCTTTCTTTGTTCATCGAGTACACACCAAAAAATAGAAAGAAAATGGAAATCAGTTTCATGTAAATTAATTTGCATCAGTCTTAGTAGCTTTTATAAAATGTAGGAATGAGAATCTAGCTCTTTTAGGCGAGAACTTTAATTCACCACTATATACTGATGCTGAAAACAGTATATTTATTGAATATGCAGAGAAGGTACTCAATGACTGTCAAATAAATCAATACAATTACTAGTTAAAATGATGTTTTAGGTTTTGTCAATTTGTACTGCTACCTCCAATAAACAAAGATATCTGAGAGGAGACTGTTGTGCAATATATACAAACCTACAACTCAGCTAAGGTCTTTTTCCTTACAGGAACACAAACCATGTACAGACACAAATAAGGTTATACACAGATACATACACAGAAACAAAAGTGTTGTCTTTCACATAAGATGACAACATTCCTGAGGCAATTACGAGCGGTTTAAGACATCTCCTCATGTTGGAGAGGAGGATAGCAATGTCTAAAAAGGTGAGAAAGACGGCACAAGGCTCTCATGTCATTGATTCTGCAGGCAGTAGAGAACCCATGGAGGTTCAATGCCCAAGTAAAGAGCACATGAGGTCAATGCCACAGTACAAGTTTTCTTCTAGCAAAATTACATGCTTAAATGGGGGTTAACTCAGTTCATCTTAGCCTCACACATGGTGTAAACATGAATGTACCACTGTCTGGCATCAGTGAATAATACATACCTTCATTCTACATTCTTTTAATAAGCCTTCTACAAATTTCCAGTTGGTCTGTGCAATCACTGCAGGAGAGAGGTCTGACAGTTTGGGCTGCCTCAGGTTTTTTCCTAAACTTCGTGCCTCTTGCATATATTTCTAAAAATTAAGGAGTATTTTTAATGCATAAACATTAGCTATTTTTCTAATTTTCTTAACCTTATACAAACAAGTACAGAGACAAACAAAATGCAAAAATTCCATAAGTGTTTGTGCATAACAACAATTAAAGTTTTCATGCACCAAAAGACAAAGGACACTCATATGTGACCCCACAACAACTGTTAACTCCTGTGAGAAGTAAAGTGACAGAAACCCCATCAGGTTAAAACTCATTCAAAGTGAGTGACATTTCATTTCGTTTAGTCTTTTTATTGGGAATACAAAAGGTTGTGATTGTCAGGATTGTGGTTGAGACAAAAAAATTCAGGTGTCTGGATTACAAATCCAAGGTTCTGCAGGAGCCCAGTGGTTCTCAGATCACTAGTTTCCTCCATTCCTTTCCCCATATAGCAAGAGACTTAACATACCTCTAGCCTCCTGGGAAGTGCTCTCCAATCTAACCCTTTGCTCTATAATCAAGTCACAACAGTAAAATCAGGAGCTCTAGAATCTGGTTGTAACTAATTTTATGACTCAGACATATCAACTAATGTTTGTGCATCTCAGCTTGTTAAATGGGCATAAAGCACACCCACCTACCTCCCAAAAAGGCTATATAATCACTCTGAAAAGCACGATGTGCTCAAAATGAAGGAGACCTCTTTCTGTGATGTTTTTGCTAAAGCCCTACCTTGCCTGGTTGTATAATCAAGAGAAAGTGTAATTACAGTGTTACTTTTGGGGTTTATGGTAACTCTAAGATATCACAGAAACTTAATCCAAAGCCATCGGCTTGGAGATCAAGCTCTGTGTGTTGGCCAAAGCCCGAGAGAGTGCCTCAGCTAAAATAAAGGAGGAGGAAGCTGCTAAGGACTAGTTCTGCCCTCCCGTCACCCATGTTTCTGGTACCAGGAATCCCCAACATGCACTGATACTGTGTTTTTAACATGTCAATCTGTCCGTTCACATGTGTGGTACATGGTGTTTGTGGCCTTGGCTGACATGAAGCTGTTGTGTGAGGTTTGCTTATCAACTAATGATTCAGTGATCAAATTGTGCAGTACTTTGGGCATTCTGGATTTTAAAAGTTTTTTATTATGCATTATATCAAATCTACCACTGTATGAGTGGAAATTAAGACTTTATTTAGTTTTTATATGTTGTAATATGTCTTCAAATAAATCTCTCTTATAAACAAAAAAAAAAAAACTCTTGAGTTTTGGAGTTAGTGAATTTCTGTTAAAATCACTACATGTGGACAGGCGCGGTGGCTCAAGCCTGTAATCCCAGCACTTTGGGAGGCCGAGGTGGGTGGATCACGAGGTCAAAAGACCGAGACCATCCTGGTCAACATGGTGAGACCCCGTCTCTACTAAAAATACAAAAAATTAGCTGGGCACGGTGGCGCACGCCTGTAATCCCAGCTACTCAGGAGGCTGAGGCAGGAGAATTGCCTGAACCCAGGAGGCGGAGGTTGCGGTGAGCTGAGATCGTACCATTGCACTCCAGCCTGGGTAACAAGAGCGAAACTCAATCTCAAAAAAAAAATCACTACATGTGGTTAGTGTAAGACATATGCTCTCTTTTCTTTCTATGCTGCCTATAAAAGTTCATCCAAGGTTGGGAGGTGGCTCATGCCTATAACCCCAGCACTTTGAGAGGCCGAGGTGGGTGGATCACCAGAGGTCAGGAGTTGGATACCAGCCTGGTCAACAAGGTGAAAACCCATCTCTACTAAAAATACATAAATTAGCCAGGCATGGTGATGGATGCCTGTAGTCCCAGCTACTTGAGAGGGTGAGGAAGAATAATCACTTGAACCTGGGAGGGGGAGGTTGCAGTGAGTGGAGATAGCATCACTGCACTCCAGCCCAGGCAACAGAGTGATACTCCACCTCAAAAAAAAAAAAAAAAGTTCATCCAGATACTTTATGTTTACATCAGGATCACAGGGCAGAATTTTCTAAAATGTCCAAGTGTCTTAGGATCATATTTAGAAAATAAGTGCTCTACATTATATAGTAAAACTAGCAGTTTATTGGCCGGTGGGGGGAGGCAGTAGGGAGACAGAGACTGCAATCCAGCACATCCTCCCACAGGCACATATGTGAAATCTATCCTTACTATCTTCAGAGAACTTGGTATTATAAAAGAAGATGTGTAAAATCCTTTGCATTCTTTAAAAAAGAGAATTTGTACATGTAATATTTTCTCCTTTGGAAGAAAAGTAATCTGTCAAGTCTGGTACAAATAAAAAAAAAATCCCACTGATTAGGGATTCAACTGATCAGTTTACCTGCTACTTCCCAACCTTTGTGGTAAAAGGCAAAATTAACGAAATAATGTTTTTTTCCAGTCCAATCATTTTAACAGTTGTCTCTAATTCTCAATTTTCCCTTCTTTCTTTGACGCTCTTAAAAATGTTTGAAGCAGAAAAAGTATACATAAATGGTATGGAAACTAAATGTCTGCAGAGTTTATTTTATTTTTAAAATCTATCAACCATTACCAGCAGAGAAGCCCAATGTAATAAGGTCTATGTAAACAGTCTGAAGGTTAGTTAGTTGTTTTTTGTTTTTGTTGTTTTCTTGAGATGGAGTCTTGCTCTGTCGCCCAGGCTGAAATGCAGTGCCTTGTTCTTGGCTCACCGCACCCTCCGCCTCCCAGATAAAAAAGCAATTTTCCTGCGTCAGCCTCCAGAGTAACTGAGATTACATGTGCCCACCATCACACCCAGTTAATTTTTATATTTTTAGTAGAGACGAGGTTTTGCTATGTCGGCCAGGCTGGTCTTAACTCCTGATCTTAAGTGATCCACCTACCTCAGCCTACCAAAGTATCAGATTACAGGCATGGGCCATCGCTTTTTCTTTCTTTCTAAGACAGAGTCTCGCTTTGTTGGGGCAGTGGTGCAGTTGTGGCTCACTGTAACCTCCACCTACCGGGTTCAAGTAATTCTCCTGCCTCAGCCTCCCAAGTAGCTGGGATTATAGGCAGGTGCTACAACAACTGGCTAATTTTTGTATTCTTAGTAGAGATGGGGTTTCACCATGTTGGCCAGGCTGGTCTCAAACTCCTGACCTCAAATGATCCACCTGTCTCAGCCTCCCAAAGTGTTGGGATTACAGGTGTGAGCCACTGCCCAGCCAGAATACTGTTTTTGTTTGATTTTTGTTTTTTTGAGACAGAGTCTCACTCTGCTGCCCAGGCTGGAGTGCAGTGGTGTGATCTCAGTTCACTGAAGCCTCTGCTTCCCACAGAGTCTCGCTCTGTTGTCCAGGCTAGAGTTCAGTGGCATGATCTTGGATCATTGCAGCCTCCGCCTCCCAGGTTCAAGCAATTCTCCTGCCTCAGCTTCCTGAGTAGCTGGGACTACAGGTGCATGTCACCATACTCAGCTAATTTTTGTATTTTTAGTAGAGATGGGGTTTCACCATGTTGGCCAGGTTGGTCTCAAACTGCTGTTCTTAAGTGATCTGCCCGCCTTGGACTCCCAAGTGCAGAGATTAAAAGTGTGAGTCACTGCGCCTTCCCCCTGAATACTTTTTAAAGTCAATTATTGGGTTCAAAATTAAGGACTGTCTGCTGGGCACGGTGCCTCATGCCTGTAATCCCAGCACTTTGGGAGGCTAACGTGGGCAGATCAAGAGATTGAGACCATCCTGGCCAACATGGTGAAACCCTGTCTCTACTAAAAATACACACAAAAAATTAGCTGGGCTTGGGGGGCACATGACTGTAGTCCCAGCTACTCAGGAGGCTGAGGCAGGAAGATCACTTGAACTCAGGAGGCGGAGGTTGCAGTGAGCTGAGATGGCGCCAAGATCGCACCACTGTACTCCAGCGAGACTCTGGAGAGAGCGAGACTCTGTCTCAAAACACAAACAAATGAATTAAGCCCTGTTTAAAGTTTATGTCCTGTTTTATATAAATGAAAACAAGTTAGATAACCGCTCTCTTTTGAGTGACCAATTTACTGAGCTCTTACATACATGGCAGGTACAGTTATTAGCCAACAGTAAATTCCATGGGGCCATGTAAAGTCTTCTTCTGAGCATCTCTGCTGGAGCCACAGAACTAGCAACATTCTATGGACATGCACAGAAAGGATACCAGGGGCGGCAAGCAGCCTGTCTTCACAGAAAGAAGGGAGGCTGCCTCTGCAAGTTGCAAAAACAGAGCAAGTGCCTTTAAAATAAACAAGTGATGATAAAAATATAATCTGGAGGCCAGGCGTGGTGGCTTACGCCTATAATCCCAACACTTTGGGAGGCTGAGGCGGGTGGATCATGAGGTCAAGAGATTGAGACTGTCCTGGTCAACATGGTGAAACCTCATCTCTACTAAAAATACAAAATTAGCTGGGCAGGGTGGTGCATGCCTGTAATCCTAGCTACTCCGGAGGCTGAGGCAGGAGAATTGCTTGAACCAGGGAGGTGGAGGTTGCAATGAGCCAAGATTGCATCACTGCACTCCAACCTGGGCAACAAGAGCAAAACTCTGTCTCAAAAAAAGAAAAAGAGAAAGAAAATATATCCATCCTATTATTCAATAAACACTGAACTAACTGCTCTTTAATACAGGCTCTTCCAGAATTTTCTAATAAACACCCTAGCCCTTTACCTGGTGTTCAACTTGTAAAGAGAAGGCTGTTGTAAAATAAAGTAGATTTAAGCTAATATGGGGGGAAAATATAAGGAAGATTTCTAAGTTACTTGTGGCCTCAAGTGAACTGCGGTTAATGCAAGCTGGCATGCAAGGTAAATGGAAAGAATATTGGCCTAGAAGTCAGGATTCCTGGGCTATAGGCCCAGCTCTGTCTTTGTGTGCTTCTAACTCTGGGCAAATCTCTTGGACTTCAATTAATCATGTCAAATTAGACAAGATGACCTTAAAGATTCCTCTTGGCACTGAGATTCTATGTTGATTACTGAATTTTCTGACCACATAAAAGACACACCAGGAAGGGGAAGTTAAAATTCTGTGGAGATAAAAAGTCCAGCAAAAGAAAGGCTATTTGAAGTTGAATCACATCTGTACTTCTAGAAAACACTTAAATAAAGGGGAGTTTGTATATTTAATACATTTTCCCTTTTGAAGTAAAGCAATTTGCTATCTGGCACCAAAAAAAAATCCCACTGATTAGAGATCCGAATGATTAGTTTTACATGTCAGCAGCATAGAATTACTCATATTAGCACACAGAAACACAGAAAGGGACTAAACACAACAGGAAGCAGGAAGCAAAATGGGGAGTGTGAGTTCATATCACAAGGTCATGTGAGGCGTTCTAGAGCTATATGCACTCACACATGTGTAACATTCAAGTAACACCAAAGACAAGATTGGGGGAACATCTGGTAAAGTACTTTCAGGCAAAGAACATACCAGGCAGCACTCAGAGAAGGATTTTTTAGGAAGTCGTGCAGGAGGAGGTGGACCCTGATCCCACTCCCAGAATGCCATGGAGTTCTGACAGACCAAAAGTTCCCCGGAAGGCTAAGAGGATGGAGAAGTGCCAATGACAGAAAAGCAAAAAAGAAAAGGAAAGGGAGAAAGAGACAAGCAGAACAAGCATGCATATGATAAAATCACAGCACAAGAGAGGGGAGAGAAGAAAATACAGTAGCAAAAATAAAAACAAAACACGACACAGATGCTGCTTCAGTTCTTAATAAAATGTTTAAAATCATACATGTATGAACATAAAAACAACAGATGTTTGGGATATCTTCTGCTTTACTTCTATAAATTCGATTCTAGAAAACAATTAACATGTCTTCTGACTACATTTTTCTTTTGATCATAAGAAATAGGCTTGGTGTGGTATCTCACATTCGTAATCCCAGTATTTTGGGAGGCTGAGGCAGGAGCATCACATGAGCCCAGGAGCTCGAGACCAGCCTGGGCAACATAGCAAAACATGAGAAATATATACATATATTTGTATTTTAATTGTGGCAGATTTAAAAAAAAAAAAAAAACGAAACTTACTTGTAATTATTCAACTGTATAATTATGATTTTATTTACAAAGAGTAAAAGTATAAGGATCTAAAAATAATTTCAAAACACTTTAAAAAATATAAAGTAGATTTAGATATTCAAGAAAAAAAAATGGTGCCAGCAAGCAAAGAACAAAGCATAGGCAAGTACATCACATTACTTATTATAATTAAATTATGCGTGAAACTTAGAAATGTCTACACTTCTCCAGTAGACAATTTTTCTCCCTATAGGAGACATAGTGACTAAAAATTTATCCTAAACTTGATCTTTACTTGATGTAATACACAGAAAGACTTGTTTTAGAGCCTTATTTTAGATGTCTTGAAATTACAAAAATGGGCCAGGCATGGTGGCTCACACCTGTAATCCCAGCACTTTGAGAGGCTAAGGCAGGCAGACCACAAGGTCAAGAGATCAAGACCATCTTGGCCAACATGGTGAAACCCTGTCTCTACTGAAAACACAAAAATTAGCTGAGTGTGGTGGTGAGGTCCTGTAATCCCAGCTACTCGGGAGGCTGAGGCTGGAGAATCACTTGAACCCGAGAGCTGGAGGTTGTAGTGAGCCCAGATTGCACCACTGAACTCCAGGCTGGCAACAGAGTGAGATTCCATCTCAAAAAAAAAATTACAAAAATGGAAAACAGGGTGTTTCTGCTATATGTCTGTACAAAAGGATTCATATTTTAAACTATAACAGTTTTTTTTTAAAAGAATAGTAAGAATCTACACAATGACATCTGCTGGAAGCCTAGTTCATGGCGCTTTCTTTGAGGCACCCTAGGAAGGCAGACCACATACCTCCCTCAAGTCGTTGTCCAGCCCAACATGCTCAGAATGCTGGCGAAGGCGTTCTTTCCTGCGCTGTGCAGTGGCACTCCGATTTACCCAGCGACTGAAACAACCAAATTATTTAAAAATGTGTTCCTTATCTTTAAAATAGAAATAATTAACCATTCAACACAAAAGGCTAACATACACATTTTAAAATCAATTCTTTAAAAAATAGCAGCTCTGTTAAGATATAATTAAAACACCATACTGCGCACTCATTTAAAGCATACAACACAAGGGTTTTTAGTATCTTTCCAGATATGTGCTGTCATCACCACAATCAGTGCTTTTAAAAAACGAGGTCAGGCCAGGTGTGGTGGCTCATGCCTGCAATCCCAGCACTTTGGGAGGCTGAGGCAGGGAGGAGGTCAAGAGATAGAGACCATCCTAGCCAACATGGTGAAACCCTGTCTCTAAAAAAAATACAAAAAATTAGCTGGGCATGGTGACACACACACCTGTAGTCCCAGCTACTCAGGAGGTTGAGGCAGGAGAATCACTTGAACCCAGGAGTCAGAGGTTGCAGTGAGCCGAGACTGCACCACTGTACTCTAGCCTGGTGACAGATCAAGACTCTGTCTCAAAAAAAGATGTAAAAAAAGGCACAGTATCAATACTTTATACCTAACAATAAGTAAAATATTATCCAAGTTAGTCCTTGATTATATTAAGATACATAATAGGAATGCCTTAACTTGCTCAAAGTAAACACTATGAATATTTTTTAATACAAAGGAGAATATTCTCAAAATCCTTAATATAGAATTACTTAATTCTAGCATCAAGTTTCCAACTTTTCAAGGAAAGATTTCTATCAAACTTGGCTGGGTGCAATGATTACACCTGTAATCCTGATACTCTGACCTGATCACTTGAGGCCAGGAGTTTGAGACCAGCCTAGGCAACATAGTGAGACTCTGTCTCTATAAAAAAAAAAAACAAAACTTAAAAAGTAGCCTCCTTAGCTACCTGGGAGTCTGAAGTGGGAAGATAATTTGAGCTCAGGAGTTTGGGGCTGCAGTGTGCCATGACTGCAACCCTGAATTCCAGCCTGGATAACACTGATATCTCATTTTAAGAAAAATAAAAAGATTTAAACTCACAAGGGTGAATCCTCATCTCTAAAGTCTAAGGGTTGCACTCAAAGATCACTGTGATTCCTTTGCTCTAAAATTTCATGGTTGTGTTTCTGTGAAGTGATAGCTTATGTTTATCAGTTGTTTTATAAAATATTTACAATATAAGCTCAGTATCAAAATGTGCAGGACAAATGAGTTTAAAATCTGAGCTCTTTTCCATGGCCTATAAAACTCAAAATATAAACAGACCTCTGTTTTGTTCCCTCTGATCTTATATCACTTTTCCCCTAATTATTATGTTCTAGTATAGTAAGCTCCATTGTTTCTAAATGATTAATAAAATCAGTGCTAGTTCTATAATAATCTCTGCTACTGAACTGCTGGTATCAAAACTGCCTTTCAGATGAGACCAGGTGCATTCAAGGCGGTATGGCCAAAGATGTATGTTGCCTTCCAGCTCAAATACCTTTGTTTTTAGTTAATAATGATTCAACTCATATGCCCCAGACCCAGACCTGCCCTAGGTTATATGGTGGGCTTAAAAATATATAATGTTTCCCTTATTCAAAGGTCCTTTTGTGGCCAGCCTAGCTACATACAGGTTCCAGCTTAGTGTATACAACTCAACCACCCAGTGATTATCATCTTTAATCACTCCTTTCTATCATCTTTATTCAGTGAAGAATTTGGAACCTGGCTCAGTTTTCTTCTCTGCTATGGGAAGTACAAAGACTATATAGGTAACTTAGTCTTAAAATTCTGGGGTCGTCTAAAATGCAACTTAACCTCCAGTCCACTTTAGCTGCAACCAGGACATCACACTAAATCAAGTAGTCCTCCAGAACTACTCTACCTCAGAAATCCTAAACTCCATCATCTTAGGCACTGACTCCCTCTCCATTACATTAGCTTTTCCGTGCCTAGACTCTCACTTAAGACCCCTTGTGCTTTTTCACTATGTTGGCCAGGCTGGTCTCAAACTCCTGACCTCAGGTGATCTGCTTGCCTTGGCCTTCCAAAGTGTTGGGATTACATCACTCTCCTCAACCCTAAAAATTCTCTTGATGAAGCCACTGAAACCCCTAACTGCCAAGTCCAATGGCTATTATTCAATCCTTAGCTTACTCAAACCCTCTTCTACATTTAGTACTGCTAATCACTCTACTTTAAAGCCCCTGCAATTTTCAACCTCAGTGTTTCCAATGGGATAAGCTCTCTCACCTCTGAGCCTTTGTCCATGAAGTTTTCTCCCAAATTTCATCCACCTTTCAAATAGATTAGAGGTTACTTTTTCCAGAAAGTGTTCTATGACTCTTCCAAATCTAAGTTAGCTACCTGTTCTGTACACCTCAATTATAGTATCTATCACAGAATTTTATACTTATCTCCATTTTCTATAAAATCTCCTGTAAAGGGCCAGTATCTTGTCTGTCAGTCATCTTACTGGCAAAGTCTACTGTATTCACCTGCCCCTTCTATAACTACAATTAAGTAAACAGAGATGCAGTCTAACATGTAGGTTTACAGATATTCATCATCGCATATATATATATATATATATATATATATATATATATATATATGTAGTAACAAACTGTATGTCCTTTATCCTAAGGCTCACATTTTAGTTTTTAAATGTTCTTGAAATTAGGATGCATCTTTCAGTCCATATGCATGTTTAGTTTATAATTTTTCCTAAAAGCCTTTGAGTTAACTGCAGACCTTTCTTTCTTTTTTTTTTTGAGATGGAGTTTCATTGTTGTCACCCAGGATGGAGTTCAATGGTGCAATCTCAGCTCACTGCAACCTTCACCTTCCAGTTCAAGTGATTCTCCTGTCTCAGCCTCCCAAGTAGCTGGGATTACAGAAATTAGCCACCATGCCAGGCCCCAGATTTTTCAATTAGCAGTAGAATCAAGTAATATACTCAAAACAACCTAAATGATCAAGAGTAGAGGGTACTACACAATGAAATCTCATGTAGTCACTAAAAAATTCAAATTTATAATAATAAATAAGATATAAGAGTGCTCATGATACGGTAATGAAAAAAGGTACAACATTCTATAAACAATATTCTAAAAGGTGTGTGCACTCCCATTCTCCTGTTCCCTCATCCTTGCTAAGTAAGAGCATAATATCACATTTTAACATTCCATGGTGATGACATTCTGAGTGATTAAAAATTAACCCCATCACTTTCTAACATTCCAACTTATTTCTGAGACAGAGTCTCACTCTGTCGCTCAGGCTGGAGTGTAGGCGCACAATCTCGGCTGACTGCAACCTTTGCTGCCTGGGTTCAAGTGATTCTCCTGCCTTAGCCTCCCGAGTAGCTGGGATTATAGGCTCCTGCCACAGTGCCTGGCTAATTTTTGTATTTTTAGTAGTGACGGGGTTTCACCATCTTGGCCAGGCTGGTCTTAAACTCCTGACCTCATGATCCACCCGCTCGGCCTTCCAGAGTGCTGAGATTACAGGTGTGAGCTACTGTGCCCAGCCAATATTCCAGATTTTTAAAGAGCAAACACTGTATCAACCTATTTTAAAATTTTTCTCAGCTGTTACCTATTATCCTCATGAACTGTATTCATTGCACTATCCTAAGAATACTGTTTTTTTTTTGGAGACAGAGTCTCACTTTGTCACCCAGGCTGGAGTAGAGTGGCTATAACCTCTGTCTCCTTGGTCCAAGCGATTTTCATGCCTCAGACTCCCAAAGAGCTGGGATTACAGGTGTGCACCACCATGCCAAACTAATTTTTGCATTTTTAGTAGAGACAGGGCTTCTACAGAATATAAATACTAACTAATGAATTTATATAATAAATGAAAGGAAGGTGCAAAAATATAAATGACATAAAATTGTGCTCTTGGCAGGCAGAAAAAGATAAACTTAAATATAACTAGTTCTTACTATGTGCTCGGTGGGACAAAATGGCCTACTAAATTTTATTGTCAAAACAGGGAAATGAGCACTGCTTAAGAAAATTACTATGAAGTCCACACATTCCTGATCTTAAGTAATTAATTCATTCTCTGCATTATTAAATTTTATTTACTGAGCGTTATTTCAAAAATGATGATCACAACTGCTGAAATACTAAGGACTGCTTATTTGCTTCTGTGTCATAAACAGCATATAAAGTTCTCTTTAACAGATCTACCATTTACACAGGCATGGTTATAAATCCATTTACCTTCCAATTAGTTATGAGATCTTTTCTCTTGACTATAACCTACCTGAAAATGGAATGACAGAGGCTTAGTGTCAAAATGGGAAACTGTAAGGATTATATATAAGGCAAAAGCAAGAAAATAAGGCTATAAGATATCAAAATTAAACTCTTCCCTCCTTAATACTCCCTACTTTTCTTCCCCACTTTGTTTTTCTTCATAACTCTTACCATCTGACATGTTATTTGACATATTAAGTTCCTTTTTTTGTTTATTTGCACTTGAAAGCAGAGATTTTTGTTGTTTTATTCATTAATAAACTCCTGGTGACTAGGGCAGTCCTCACATATAGTAGGAGTTCCATAAATATTTGCCAAATAAATGAATGAACAATCTAATGCCATCAAAAGGAAACAAAAACTGTTAAACTAAGTCTATCCAGATCAACATGATTCAAACAATTAGGATACTTCACAAATAAAATGAAAAATAAACTGATGGCTAATCTGTTCTGATGGAAAATTCTCTTAATTCTCATCTACTACTGAAAAATAGATTATTGTATCTAGTAACATTATCTGGAAAGTTTGAACCCTCATAACCATCAATATCTATTAAGACATTTTTTTTCTTTCCTTTTATTTTCTTTTTTTAATAACAATGAGGTCTCACTATGTTGCCTCTGCTGGAGGTTATTCACAGGCACAATCATTGTACATCATACATAGCCTCTAATTCCTGGTCTTAAGGAATACTTCCTCTCAGCCTCCCAGCTAGTACTAGGGGAGTATACCACAGTACACCACACCTGGATTCTTAGCACATTTTTTAAGTTCAGTGTTTATAAAAGCCTGGCCAGCCCTTCACTGGCGGGTGAACCCTGCAGACTAAGGTAAGTACAATAAAAATGTCAGTCATTAGTTACTCATTTCTGTCTTGTAAGCAACATATCAAATCCTCTTAAACAACTTTCCTCCCCAAGCTTTAGCATAAAGATTTGCATTTTCTATAAGAGGAGAAAATTTCATTCTGAATATGTAATTTTTCCATATTTCTAGTGAACCATTCTCTAGTACTGTCTTCATTAAAGTTAAGACAGCCTTTTAAATGAAAGGTCAATCAAATGAAGGGTTTTTGTTTTTGTTTTGGAAGAGGGTCCTCGCAAGACTGACCAGGCTGGAGTGCAGGGATGCGATCACATCATGGCGCACTGCAGCCTACACCTCTCAGGTTCAAGTTATCCTCCCACCTGAGCCTCACCAGTAGCTGGGATTATAGTCGCATGCCAGAATGGCTGGCTCTGCCTCCCAAGCTCAAGCAATTCTCATGCCTTAGCCTCCCAAGTAGCTGGTATTACAAACATGCAACCACCACACCCAGCTAATTTCTGTATTTTTAGTAGAGATGGGGTTTCGTTTTAGTAGAGATGGCCTTCAAGAGATCACTTGAGGCCTCCCAAAGTGCTGGGATTATACGCATGAGCCACCACACTTGGCCTAATTAAAAAAAAAAATTTGTAGGGACTTGGCCTGGTGGCTCATGCCTGTAATCCCAGCACTTTGGGAAGCCAAGGACATCGGGTTCCTTGAACCCTGAAGTTTGAGACCAGCGTGGGCAACAAGGCAAAATCCTGTCTCTACAAAAAAATTAAAAAAATAGCTAGGTGTGGTGGCATGTGCCTTTAGTTCCAGCTATTGGGAGGCTGAGGCGGGAAGATCACCTGAGCCTGGGGAGGTCAAGGCTGTAGTGAACCAGACTGGGCAACAGCACTCTAGCCTGGGCAACAGAGACTTTGTCTCAAAAAAATATGTATTTTTTTTTGTAGAGACAAGGTCTTCCTATGTTGCCCAGGCTGGTCTCAAGCTCCTGGGCTCAAGTGATTCTTCTGCCTTGTAGTCCTAAAGTGCTGGGATTATAGGTGTAAGCCACTGTGTTTGTTTTTTTGAGACAGGGTCTGGCTTTGTTGCCCAGGCTGAAGAACAGTGGTGATCATAGGTCACCGTAACCTCCAACTCCTGGGCTCAAGTGATCTTCCCATCTCAGCCTCCCAAGTAGCTAGGGATAGAGGCATGTGCCACCACACCCAGCTCCAAATGAAGTTGTTGTTGTTTTTAATCCACAATTCTTTTTAATACTATTTTTATTTTTGAGACAGGGCCTCACTCTGTCTCCCAGTCTGAAATGCAATAGTGCAATCACGGCTTACTGCAGCCTCAACCTCCTGTGGCTCAAGTGATCCTCCCACCTCAGTCTCCTGAGTAGCTGGGACTATAGGTGCACACCACCATGCCCAGATAACTTTTGTATTTTTTGGAGAGATGGGGTTTGGCCACATTGGCCAGGCTGGTCTTGAACTCTTGGGCTCAAGCGATCTGTCTGCCTCAGCCTCCCGAGGTGCTGGGATTACAAGCGAGAGCCACCATACCTTGCCATAATTCTTTTACTTTACTGTTTGGTGCCCCCTTTTTTTTAAGTATTTAAAAGGATACTAGTACTAAAATTTTCTCTTCAAAAATTTTTCTCTTTAGCTCTTCAAGAGGGAAGATGAAGCCTAAGAAGGTATCTTGCTACCCAAAGTACTACCCTGTCCTCTCTGGAAGCACTCCTCTTAACAGAGCCCAGTTTAACGCAGAGGTGAGACATCTGATGGCTCTTTCACCTGGAAAGATCTCATTAGATTGATGTGACAGGGTGTTGCTAAGCTCTCATGTTCTCCTAAAGCTGGAAAAGGCAAGGAAGGATCATTCTCTAGAAGCCTCAAAGGCAGTATGGCCATGCCAATTCCTTGATTTCAAATTTCTAGCTCCCAGAATTACGGAGGAATAATTTCTGTTGTTTTAAGCCACTGAATTTGTGGTTCTTTGTTACAGCTGCCCTAGGAAACTAATACAGATGATAAAGGTCTAACTTTTCTAAATTCCATTAGATAGTATTATCATATTTAAATTGCCATTTAAAGTGTGACTTTTCCAAGTGTACTTTGCTTGAAAAAGAAAAAAAAAAGTCTAGTCTTTGGATATTTTTTAAATGATGAATTTAAAGGTCAAGTACTCACAGAAATGTCAATCCATATTTCAAATGCATTAATGTGGCTTTGAAAAAATCAATCAGGCAGATGTTTAATACTTAAGCATTGTCCATTTGAGTTGCAGAGCATCCCACCCTTCATTCATTCCTTCAACCAACTACTCAAGTGAAGAACATGCTTACTTGTTATTGGTTGGTCCTGTTGCCAAGACATCGGACTGTAACTTTGGAAAGAACCCCTGCTCATATTTGCCTTGACCAATTTTCATATCAAGTAGATGTGGGTGGATTGCAGTGTGATCCATTTTCATCAGTCTCTGCTCAATTGACTGGGCTACAAATTAAATTTATAATAAATTAGAGACATTTCATTGCTAACCCTTCAAAAATAACGCTTCTTCCACTCATTTACCTACAAAGAACCCAATCACTCTGACATTCTGAAATTTTGTGTGTGTGTGTGTGTGTTTTGAGACAGAGTTTTGCTCTTGTTGCCCAAGCTGGAGTACAATCTCAGCTTACTGCAACTTCTGCCTCCCAGGTTCAAGCAATTCTCCTGCCTCGGCCTCCCATGTAGCTGAGATTGTAGGCATGCACTACCAGGTCCTGCTAATTTTGTATTTTTAGTAGAGATGGGGTTTCATCATGTTGGTCAGGCTCGTCTTGAACTCCTGACCTCAGGTGATCCACACTCCTCAGCCACCCAAAGTGCTGGGATTATAGGCAAGAGCCACTGTGCCCAGCATTGAAGTAAATTTTTTCAAAGGCTCTTCAGAAAATAGTATAATATAAATATAAAAAGGTTACCTTCAACTAAATATTGGATGATTAATTTTCATGGTATTTTTCTGCCTTTGTCAAAATCAGGGCAGTGGGATTGAAAAACATAGACTTTTGTATTGAAACAGTCCCTTAAGTGAGAAATTCCATATTCTTACACAAAAATAAGGTTCTAAGTACAACATTAAAGAAAATGACAGCAAATAAAATGTTTTCTTTGAGTTGAAATACAAGGTAAAGGGAAGGAAGAAGCAAGCACAATGGCCTTATTAACTTTTTTCTTTGTGTAAAGACCTATTAAATATTCATGGTTCTCCATCTGTGAAAACAAAGAACTGTGTGAAGTTTATTACCTCACTTTTAGCAGCAGTCACATTCTCATTAGTAGGAGTCATTTAGGAGTGTTTATTAGATTGAGTGGGTAATACAGCAAAAAGTCAAATAAGCAGGCATTTAGAAAATGTCCAGAGAATAAGAAACTGGCCTTTTGAAGAATAAAATAGGTCAGTGTTAAGAGAGGATTACTCAACATTTCTATTTTAAAACCACTAAGAGTCAGGGATATTGGAAGATGTCTCAAAGACCGAAGAAACAGTGATCTATTTCTCAGGTAAACAAACAAACAAAACCTGATTTTAAACATTTTAATTAACTGAATTGATAAGAGAAATTATATTTTAGAAGCAAGACTAGGTCTCTGATCCTCTGCCTAGAAATTACTTAAAAGGGGAGAACAAGCAGTAATGGTAGTTGCGTGATCAACAGAACACACTGTGGGAGCTGCTAATCTTGTGACTTAAGAACAAGGTGCCTTTGTAAATACTTCACAGAATCAGTTTATGTTGCCCCTTTTCCTTTTTTTTTTGATGGAATCTAGCTCTATTACCCAAGCTGGAGTGCAACAGCGTAATCTTGGCTCACTGCAACCTCCACCTCCAGGGTTCCAACAATTCTCCTATCTCAGCCTCCTGAGTAGCTGGGATTACGGGCACCCATCACCATGCACAGCTAATTTTTATATTTTTAGTAGATGGGGTTTCATCACATTGGCCAGTATGGTCTTGAACTTCTGATCTCAGGTGATCCACCCACCTGGACCTCCCCAAAGTGCTGGGATTACAGGGGTGAGCCACTGTGTCTGGCCACAATGGTATATTTTCAAGAGTATTATGTAATTTTTTTGATGACAGCAGGAGTGCCAAACTCTCTGAGAGGCTGAAATAAAAATCTATTTTAATTGGAAAGATTTTCTGGAAGCACACAATTAAGGTATTGGTGCTTAGTTCCATCTAAAAAAATTCCATTGGGAAGGGAGAAATAAAATTTTCACAAGGCATTATGCTATTCACATGGCTATTAAGGCACTGGAAGTCCTTTTATTCTCTAAACAAGGATAGATAATTTCATTTATTCTACTTTCTCTATCTCCAAAACCACATAGGTAATTGCCACTTCCTGAAGGGGCTCCAAGGATCTACCCTAATAGTGGGAATACAACAGGGTGATGTTTCTATAGTTAGATAAAAGACATCATTTACATACTTCTCCCTTACATATGCTAAAGCTGCAGCAGCATCATTCCTGACTTTGATCTATTTAAGTAAAGTGGGAAAGGCAAACAAGCAAGATAGGCAGATCAAGAAAGTTCCACATTTGCTGCCTATTTTTTCTCCAGAGGAAAAGTTGCTGTCAAGTAACTCCAGCATTTGAAGAGAAAGAAATAAAAGGGAGAGACAGTCAGGTCATAGGTATCTGTTTATCTGGCAATGAACAGGTTAGGAACCAGGCATAAATGTTTAAAATAACTGTCAACTAGTAAATTTTACATAGTTCTTTCGTGAATGAACGGCTAACACGATGTTAAGGCTTCATGTGCCAGAAATCAGTCAGATCTGCATTCAAACCATGGCTCGACCAATCACTAGCTATGCAACCACAGGCAAGTTACTTAACCTCTCAGTTTTCTCAAATGTAAAATGAGGGCAGTCATAAAACAATATATAAATAAGTGTTCCAGCCCAGACATGATGGCTCATGCCTGTAATGCTAGCACTTTGGGAGGCCTAGGCTGGTGTTTGGTTTGAGCTCAGGAGTTCGAGACCAGCCTGGGCAATGTGGTGAAACGCTGTCTCTACTAAAAATACAGAAAACTAGCCAGGCATGGTGATGTGTGTCTGTGGTCCCAGCTACTTGGGAGGCTGTGCTGGGAGGATCACTTGAACCCAGGAGGCAGAGGTTGCAGTGAGCTGAGATGGCACCACTGCACTCCAACCTGGGTGACAAGAGCGAGATTCTGTTTCAAAAAAAAAGTGCCGGGTCAGGCACAGTGGCTCACGTCTGTGAGAAACTGAAGCAGGTAGATTAAATCAACCAAGATAAGATAATAACCTGGGCGAATGGTGAAACCCCGTCTCTACAAAAAATATAAAAACTTAGCTGGAGGTGGTGGCATGTGCCTGTAGTACCAGTTCTCCCAAAGGCTGCAGTAGTAAGATCACCTGAGCCTGAGAGGTTGAGGCTGCAGTGAGCCATGATGGCACCATTGCACTCCAGCCTAGGCAACAAGTGAGACCTTGTCTTAAAAAAAGAGAAAAAATTCACAAACAACTCCTGGCATGATGACTGACATAGTACATACTGTAAATGTTGGTTATTAATATGATATTTAATGAACTATATTATATTGCCAGACAAGACTGGCTAAGACTCAGATTTACTTACTTTTTTTTTTTTTGAGACAGAGTCTCGCTCTGTTGCCTGGGCTGAAGTGCAATGGTGCCATCTTGGCTCACTGCAACCTCTGCCTTCGGGGTTCAAGTGGATTCTCCCATCTCAGCCCTCCTAGGATCTGGGATTACAGGCGCATGCCAAGACACCTGGCTAATTTTTATATTTGTAGTAGAGATGAGGTTTTGCTATGTTGGCCAGGCTGGTCTCGAACTCCTGATCTCAAGTGATCTGCCCACCTCAGCCTTCCAAAGTGCAGGTATTACAAGTGTGAGCCATCATGCCTGGCCTGACTCAGATTTAATTTCAATAAATGAAGTGATTATAATTAATGGCACTACTAAAGCAAAGACTGTTTTATTATGTAAATTAAGCAGGACAGAAGATTTACTGTTTTCAATGAATAGTTATCCTTTCTTGGATATAAAGAAGAGGTGAGAAGTAAAAAGGAAACATAACTAGTAAGACATAAATAACATTTTTTCCATTTAGGCAGTAAAGAGAAAAAAACAAAAATCAGGCTGGACATGTGGCTCATGCCTGTAATCCCAGCACCCTGGGAGGCCAAGGAGGGCAGATTATCTGAGGTCAGGAGTTCAAGACCAGTGTGGCCCACCTGGTGAAACCCCGTCTCTACTAAAAATACAAAAATTAGCCAGGCGTGGAAGCACGTGCCTGTAATCTCAGCTACTTGGGAAACAGAGGCAGAAAAATCGTTTGAACCCAGAAGGTAGTAAGCCGAGATCATGCCACTGCACTCCAGCCTGGGCAACAGAGTGAGATGTGTCTCAAAAACAAAAACAAAAATCATAGCAACCTGCCAGTCATACTTGATTCAATTTATGTTTTTCCTCTTCTGATAAGGGAAGAGGAATGTCAAATAGAAATGGGACTCACAGAAACAGAAAAATTTACAAAGCATTTCTTGATATAATACCAGGATTAGTCATGAAGTCTAAAACCGAAAATTAATTTTGTTGTACATAAGGCCAACAATTTGTGGAAAAAGAACGATCATGGATTTTAATTTAAAAGGCATGGCAAATGTACCTGCTTCTTTTAAAGTGTTGCATTTCTGATATATAGATGTCCGCAAAGTAGGTGCCCTTACATTATACAGCCTTATCTTATCAATCCGAGAGTCAAAGACCCGAAGCAAAGGATCTTTCTCTTCCCACTGAGACATAATTTTATTATCAATAAAGGTGGCAAACATCTGTGTTTCGATGAAGCGTGAAAGAAATGGCAGGTAAGGCTCAGGCTGGTCAGACAGAAAGGAAGCCTGTAATGAGATAATTAGGAAATTATTAGTGCAAAGAGACCATTTCAACACTATATGATAAGCCTTAAAATTATGTTAACTCAGGACATTCTTTTTAAGTCTTCTAAAACTGACAGTTGAAATTCAAAAATTCTTAAAAATCCATTTTTCTTTCCATTTTCCTAAATTCAGAGAATGTAGGTCACTCCGGTCTCTAGCACTGATCTTAACTTACACAATTGATTTGCATTCTGATCCTGACGACCATTATGTAGAAGAGAGGGCATCATTAATGAAAGATGGCAGATAGATAAGTTGCTATATGATTGTCAAGCATCCACTTCACTTGCAGTTAAAAATTTTTATCCCTTTCCCCAGTGAGCTATAATTTCTTCTGTTCTCCATTCCTAGCCTATGCAATATACGTTCAAGCTGTAAGGTAGTGAGATGATTAACTGATACAATAAACACATCAGCATTTATCTTAAAAAAGGACATGAAATTTATACTTATAAGTGAAATTCTTTTGTTCTTCTTCAAGGGAATGCTTTTCTAGACTCTGTTAGAAACTGATAGATGAGGCTGGGCGTGGTGGCTCACACCTTTAATCCCAGCACTTTGGGAGGCCGAGGCAGGCGGATCACGAGGTCAAGAAATCGAGACCATCCTGGCCAACATGGTGAAACCCCATCTCTACTAAAAATACACAAAAAAAATTAGCTGGCTGTGGTGGCGCGCACCTGTGGTCCCAGCTACTCGGGAGGCTGAGGCAGGAAAACTGCTTGAACCCAGGAGGCAGAGGTTGCAGTGAGCCGATGTCGTGCCACTGCACTCCAGCCTGGCACCTGGTGACGGAGTGAGACTCTGTCTCAAAAAAAAAAGAAACCAATAGATGAGTGTTAAGCCAAGGTCAAATTCCTTCCACACTTGTGCTGACACAAGAGTCTCAACATTAACAACTAAAAAAGGAACTGCCTGGAAGCTGGGCATGGTGGTGCCCACCTACAGTCCCAGCCACTAGGGAGGCTGAAGTGGGAGGACTCTGTGAGTCCAGTAGTTTGAGGCCAGCCTAAAGAAATATAGTGAGATACCATTTCCAAAAAAACAAACAAAAAAAAGCAAAGCATTTCCTGAAAAACCCTCAGAAGCAAGCCTTTGGAGAACATGTACAATAAGGTGTACACCTTTCCTGTTACTATCCTGTCTGATGCATGGGATGTTTCAGTAAATCATAATCAGTTCCTAATTCAAAGTTTTAACTTTTTTTCTCTTGTTCTTCATGTCCATTGTGTACAGGAATTCTAGATTCAAAGCAGTACTAGCTAAAATTTGGAAGTAAATTTCTATTTTGGTTGCTGGGTTGGTTTTTATTTTTATATGGCAGAAGCCAGAAGAGGAAAGATGAAAGGGTAAGTTCTGATATAAGGTGACTTTTAAAAATACTCATCAGCTTCTTGCTAGCATATGTATTTTTCATTCCAAAATTTAGGATGTCTTTTAAAAATTTCCTTATGGAATTCCACTTACTCACTTTAAGTAGTTCTATAGTTCAGGTATATATAAATAAATCCAAATAACCACAGAAACAGTCACAGTAGTCTCTAGAAATCAGTTCACCTCCACCAATAAATATCAATTTTACTTTTTATAGATCAAATGGGCATTTTAAAAAAAATCTGGATTTTGATGTTCAGACCCTCACAAACTATAAAATTTGAGGTCAGCAAAGACGTGGCTTGTAGAACTAATATATCCTGCAAATTTTCCTAGTGAAAGATAATTATAAGCCTTCTGGAATCCAACAGAATATTTTCATTTTTTTAGTGGTTATATAAAAAGAATTTCATTTATAGTTTGAGGCTACATAAAGATTAAGAAGGAAGGAAGTATCAGGGCTTGATTTAGGTAAGAATTTGAATTGCCCCAAGGATAAACCTAAACACAGATTAGTTCTAAGCTAGGTAAGAAAAAGTATGGAAAATGGTTAAGATTCATGAGAAAGGAACCTAAGGGCGGGAACACACTTAAAGAAGTAAAGTCTTGTTAATGTTAAAGAAGTTTTCTCAAACACAAAATGCATCAGGATGCTTTTGTAGTTCATAAATGTAGTGATTGGCTTTTCATGCTCATGTGTGAGATATGCCTTTATCAAACTTTGTTCCCATGTTGGCACATTACCTGTCTGATGGGAAATACAAAGCACATCAGAACATAACTGTTCAACATACAGCATTATCCTCCAACAGAAAAAATATCTGATGAAGTAAAAAAATTATCTTTTATTTATTTATTTTTTGAGATAGGGTTTCACTCTCTTGCCCAAACTGGAATACAGTGGAATCATCTTCCCTCACTATAGCCTCAACTTCCCAGGCTCAAATGATCCCACCTCAGCCTCCAGAGTCATTGGGACCACAAATGCACACCACCATGCCTGGCTAATTTTAAAATTTTTTTGTAGAGATGAGTTCTTACTATGTTGCCTAGGCTGGTCTCAGACTCCTGGCCTCAAATGATCCTCAAGCCTCAGCCTCCTACTGTTGGGATTATGGGTGTGAGCCACCATGCCCAGACACTATGTGTACCTTTATGCAAATTTTTAATTATTTCCAAAAATTCTCCACTATTATAGATTAGCCTCTTAAAATGTATCAGCCCCTTAAGAAGGTCTTTCATAACACAAAGATGCCACTTAGTGAAATCCACGATACATTCTAATAGCAGTATTATACCTCAGCAATCACAGAGGCAGAGAACCAAACTGTACCCTGGTAACCTAAAAAAGTTAATATACAATCCTAAGTGCATCTGCCTGGAAAAAAAAAATCTAGGAGATAGGTGAAAAAAACCTGGCAGAAGAAGCCAGTACTCCTCACAGGACAATGGAAAGCTGATAACATTTTCTATGTTCCCTTACCAAAATCTTTGGAACCATTTTACACTTAACAGTCATAAGATCTAATTTAGTCACTCTTTTTCTCCTTTGATCTTAGAATGAGGTAGAGAAATTTGGCTTCTGAAACTAAACTGTTACATTTACATGGACAAGTTGTGACTTCCTGATAGGATAAAGACTAAATATATAGAGATTTATTCAAAAAGGAGTAGGCTTATTTAACTAGACTTGATCATAAAATAAGAGCAAATAAAACCATTATAAGGTCAAACAGCATTAACAGATCTGGAAAACCTGCAAAATCTGAGAGTTTTTCTATAATTTTTTGTTTTTGTTACAGTCTCACTCTGTCGCCCAGGCTGGAGTGCAGTGGCGCCATCTCAGCTCACCGGAAACTCTGCCTCCTCGGTTCAAGTGATTCTCCTGCCTCAGCCTCCTGAGTAGCTGGGGCTACGGGTGCACACCACCATGCCCTACTAATTTTTTGTATTTTTAGTAGAGATGGGGTTTGACCACATTGGCCAGGCTGCTCTTGAACTCTGGACCTCATGATCCACCTGCCTCAGACTCCTCAACTGCTGGGATTACAGGCATGAGCCACTGCGCCTGGCCTGAGTTTCTATAATTTAATTATCTTCAAGGTAAAGAAAAATTTTAAATGAGATTACAGGCAATTTAACACACAATTTAATGACCAGCTCAATGAGCTGGCTGATTTGCTTTCTTGTAAAATTATTTTATCTAATGTAAAAATGCTTGGTAAAGGAAAGTTCTTAATGGGATGTAGGACAAAAAGTCTACATTTTAAAAAGATTAACAAAATCAATAATATATGGGTAAGCATAGGCACAAAAGAAAAAAAAATTTTAAATCAGTAATAAAGGCACTAATAACCACAACAAGGAAAACTATGGTTCTTTTTACTTTGTCAAAGTTCTGCATCTGTTCCCGGTTAGTCAGCCAAGACTCCATGTCCTGGGCAGTCTGAATGACAAATGCTTCATAATCTGCAAACATCTGTGTAAAGCGGTTAGCAAAGACCTCTCGGAGCTGTACATTGAGCTGGTAGTCCCTTAGTTCTGCCTCTTCACACTGCAGTTTTAAATCCTTGTCTTTTTCACCCAGAGAAGCAGAGAGGTCCATTTTTTCAACAGCCACACCAGTTCGCTTGGCCAGAGCCTGCAAGCGGGCTATGGTTTCATTGCCCTTTAGTAACTCATACATGCTGATGTTATTAGTGGAGACATTGCCGTTCTTTTTGTCATTGACCAAGTCTTTCAGAACCAGATTCTTCAGTTTGCTGGTACTGTCACTGCAATGTAGGCTGCCCTCAGGAGGGATCCCAAATTGAACAAGAACCTCAGAGAGTTCTTGGATAAAATCCACTTTATTGGGGAACTGTGGAAATTCTTCAGGCAACTCAATAAAATGGTTGTCAATGTCCACAAAACATAAATTAGCCTGAAAGAGAAAAATGAAATACAAAAGTTTAAAATAAAGGAATTCTATGTTCTAAAATATTCTTGCCAGCCAGCCATGGTGGCTCACACCTATAATTCCAGCACTTTGGGAGGCCAAAGAAAAAGGATCACTTGAGCCCAGGAGTTTGAGACAAGACTGGGAAACATGGCAAGACCTCATTTCTACAAAAAGAAAAAACAAAAAAATCTTTCCAACTATTACAAACAAAAGCATAGATTATGATGCCTTTTCTGTTAATCTTCACAAGGTTTAGAATTTCTTATTCTTTAAAAATAACCTCCTTTTCCATCAATTTTTCCTATGTGAGTATTTTTATACCATACTTAATATATATGAATAACTTTTTCTGGGTCTCAGCAATATATTATAATCTGATATGATTTTCTAACGTTTGGCATCCATTAGGCATTTCCGTGTGGATTTGGGTGCCCAGAATCCTAAGACCTTACAATTAAATAATATTAGGTAAAGTGCTCACTTAAACTTTCTTTGCCACTTCACTGCTCTAACATCTATAATTTAGAATTAACAATAATCCTTAAAAATCAGCAGCTATAGTAACTCCCAATAGGATGAAAGTGGTAACATCAATCCAATTCACAGATAATCCACAAATTTTCACTTTACTCAAAACTTACTAAACCTCCTAGAGCAAAATCATTTCAGAAGTCATTATACCTAATGCAGGAGGCAGAGAGAGGTGGTAGAGACAAGTGCATATATAACTACAAATGATTAACTTCTGAATAATCAGAAGTCTACTCAAGATATTCTGAGTTGAGAAAAAGAGGTGACAAAAATCAGAAGAAATTTTTTTTGACTTTGCTTACACTCTACATTTGGAATTTATTTTGAATAAATATTTTCCAAATAGATACAGAAAATTCAAGAGGCCAAGCATATGCATAAAGTTCTGATTATCCCTCAGGTATCTGTAGACTCCAAATTGTATTTGATACCTTCACTGTCCATATTCTCTTAATCAGAACAAGGTTGTTAAAAGAAGGTTGTGCTTCTAGACTGGGGGGTGTAGGATGCCAAAAGTGAAGCCTATCACATACAAATAATATTGGGCAGGGCACAGTGGCTCACATCTGTAATCCCAGCACTTTGGGAGGCCGAAGTGGGCGGATCACAAGGTCAAGAGATAGAGACCATCCTGGCCAACACAGTGAAACCCTGTCTCTACTAAAATATAAAAATTAGCTGGGCATGGTGGCGCATGTCTGTAGTCCCAGCTACTCGGGAGGCTGAGGCAGGAGAATTGATTGAATTCAGGAGGTGGAGGTTGCAGTGAGCTGAGATCACACCACTGCACTCCAGCCTGGTGCCTGGTGACAGTGAAACTCTGTCTCAAAAAAAAAAAAAAAAAAAAAAAGAAATGATTACATTAATGGTTGAATACGAGGCATGGGGTGGAAGTCAATAAACAAAATAGAAAGCTTCACCATGTGTTTTTCCCTGGCTTTCCCACCCCAAGGTCACCAAGGGGAAAATTCATACTGTTCTTTGATCCTAGATGGCAAAGTAAGGGGAAAGTAGAAAGCAAACAGTTGGGTATTTGTTTTTCTCTTGATCCTTGCTCTTCATGTTAGATACCAATTAGCAAGCAGCACAGTGAAATTCTAAATTAAGTTCAATAAAAACTCAAAATGAGGCCTGGCACGGTGGCTCATGCCCGTAATTCCAACACTTTGGGAGGCTGAGGTGGGCAGATGACTTGAAGTCAGGAGTTTGAGACCAGTCTGGCCACCATGGTAAAACCCCATCTCTACTATAAAAATTAGCTGGGCATGGTGGCATGTGCCTATAATCCCAGCTACTCAGGAAGCTGAGGCAGGAGACTCACTTGAACCCAGAAGGCAGAGGTTGCAGTGAGCCAAGATTGTGCCACTGCACTCCAGTCTAGGCAAAACAGAGCAAGACTGTCCGGAAAAAAAAAAAAAAAAAAAAAAATGCAAGATTTATCTCCATTCAAAGCCAAATGATCAGCAATGATTCCTAAAGTCTGACATAATCTTTGAATCCAGCCTTTTCATTTTGCAGATGAAGAAACCAAGGCCCAAGAAGTTAGGTGACTTCCTGGCACCTGTTCCAAATGTGCACCCTCAAACAGACTGGTGGCTTATGGCCTTTCCCCGCTATTTTTCCTCACCTCCAATGTCAGTAGTTTTCTAAATAAATTAAGAACTGAAACGTCACATCTTGCTGAAGACAGTAGTACTGCCTACACCATTCTTTACACTGAAAGGCTTAAATGGAGAAAGTAGGTCACATAATTCCAATGGATGATTCAGTATCTTTAAAATGGAAGAAAAAATTTACTAAGTTGCTAATCTAAATGTTAACCAGCAGCCTCCCACCACTTAGATTTTGTACCATCCCCTTCATTAATGCCTTCCTACTACCTTTTTCTATCCCTCTCCTCTTCCCATGAAAAGGGAAAATGATACATTTTCTGAAATTTGAAAGCTTATTATGCTCAGGAAATCACTGCTGAGTCGAAAGTGTGCTACAAGGGTAGCAGTTCCAACACCACAGCTACTGGCCTGTCTTCATGATCCAATAAAAGTCTCCTAGGTCTGCTTGAGAGGGCCCAAGCTGGGGCTTTGATTATCACAAAGTAGAACAGGAAATACAAACTGTGTTATGAAAATGTATTGAAGAAAACCAAAAAGCCCTTTCTCTAACACAAATAAGAACTCTCCATTCTGATATATTGCTTCTCACTTTTAACACCATTAAATTAAAAAATTTTTCAGAAGAGCTCAGTATTACCTGATAAAAATTTATTCAATACCTCAATCTGACATCGTTTTAGGACCAAATATTTCTACTGATCAACACTGCTCACAAGCCTTCATGATATGTAACTACTTCCTATTAAACACAAAAAAAGTTAATAAATAAATCAAAACAACAACAACAAAAGTGGGCCTGGTGTGGTGACTCATGCATGTAATCTCAGCACTTTGGGAGGCTGAGGTGGGAGACTCACCAGGTCAGCAGTTAGAGACCAGCCTGGCCAACATGGTGAAACCCCCGTCTGTACTAAAAATACAAAAACATTAGCTGGACATACGGTGGCAGGTACCTGTAATCCCAGCTGTTTGGGAGGCTGAGGTAGGAGAATTGCTTGAACCCAGGAGGCAGAGGTTGCAGTGAGCCAAGATTGCACCACTGCACTCCAGCTTGGGTGACGAGTGAGACTTTGTCTCAAAAACAACAGCAACAACAACAACAAAAGTGGCCAGGTGCAGCGATTCACGCCTGTAATCCCAGCACTTTGGGAGGCTGAGGCGGGTGGATCATTTAAGGTCAGGAGTTCAAGATCAGCCTGGCCAACATGGTGAAACCCCATCTCTAGTGAAAAATATGAAAATTAACTGGACATGGTGGCATGCACCTGTAATCCCGGCTTCTCGGGAAGGTCAGTCAAGAAAATCGCTTGAACCTGGGAGGCGGAGGTTGCAGTGAGCTGAGATGGCGCCATTGCACTCTAGCCTGGGCCACAGAGTGAGATTCCATCTTCAAAAAAAAAAAGTTCCCTCAAAAGAAAACAAAGACTTAAAGCTTAATCATCTCTTCTGTCATGAAACCTTCCTAAACCCTTACCCTAAAGGCATTCTGATCTCCTCTGTATCCTCTCTGTTCACTCATTCCTTACTAACTTACTTTTTAACCTGTTATTGGTATTTGTAAAAGACTTTTTTGAAAAGCAGAAATCACCTCTTATTTTACTTGATATCTCCCACTGTATTCTACACAAATAGTGTATGAGACAACTGCTCAGCAAATGCAAGAATAAGTTCTGGGGAGATGGTCATTTGGGGGAACCCTAAAACTGTAGGCAGGTGCAGGAAGTCATCTACAAACGAGAGACGAATGCAGCTCTCTGCATGTTTAGTAAGTGATCTCACTTCTCGGTATCTGAAGTCAAGCCAGCTTGAGGATAAGCCAGAGAGAGGAGAGCATTTAAAATACTCCCTCCGGGCCAGGTGCTATGGATCGTGCTAGTAATCTTTGGGAGGCCAAGGCTGGAGGATCGCTTCAGTCCAAGAGTTCAAGACTAGCCTGGGCAATGTAGAGACTACATCTCCATAAATAATAATAATAAATAGCTGGTGGTGTGTGCCTCTCATCCCAGCTACTCACGAGGCTGAGGTGGAAGGATCTCCTGAGCTCAGGAGTTCAAAGCTGCAGTAAGCTGTGCCCACCACATTCCTGCCTGGGTGACAGTGAGACCCTGTCTCAAAAATTAAATAAATTATTCCCTCAGAATCTTAGGGCAAGATATGACAAAAACAAAGTTGCAAAAGCATCTCTCTTTCAGTTTTTCTCTTAACTTTCTGTCTACCAGTTACTGTGAAGATGAGCAAGAACAGTAGAAAGTGAAGTGTACTCCATGCAATTAATCTTTAGTGCCTTCTTTCCACCCTCACTCGCTCTACCCTACTCATATTCATAGAGTAGAATAATATGAAATAACCTGAATTGGCTGTGGAAATTCAGTAAAACCGGTATTATAAATGGCTACTTATGCCTATCACTTTTAAATCGTGGGGATAGCTAGTGGGTAATTAATTTATAAATCTATATAGTTACATTAGTTAGCTAGCAACTAAAATCATACCTTCTCAAAATAATCATTTTGCAAACTTGTCATTTTTGTAACTATGTTTAGAAGACATCACTATTTTTAGCCATTATTTTAGAGTTTTCAGGGAAAGATGGCAGTATTACTAGTGAGTATATTTAAGGCATTTTTAAAATGACTATTTTTATATCCACTTCCTCCCCAAAATTATGTGAAGCAGATTATTTCACCTCATTGTAAAACAATGCCAGAACAAAGTCATAGACTGTTAGCCTTTCCTTGTAAAACAACGATGCCCTGATTTATAAGTTTCTAAACAGAAGCGCTGCTATTTCCACAGCAATTCAGGTCATTTCATATTATCCTACTCTATGAACAGATGGGTATGTGTATTTATTAAACAGTGTTGATCTCTTGAACGAAAAATTAGAAAATCACAAACATTATTGTAAGAGCTTTCAGAATCCCTAAATTTGTTCATCTTTAGTGTTTACATACAGGCATAGTGATGGAAAGGTTTTCCAACTACAGATATATCAAGGTGGCATTTAAAAATCTCTCAACAATTGTTACAAAAAATGGAAAGACAATATACATATAGTCTTATAAAAATAGTACATGATTAACACACAAAATAGATCAGATACTCAACAAGAAACTAAAATGTCCTTAAGTCTTCAAAACCAAACGTATTTGACTAGTCTATTTCTTTTTCCTTCAAAATTTAAAGGATTAACTTCTTTGAGCAGATAATATACTAGATTAATCAAAGAGAAAACAAGAAAATTCAAGGAATAAAGAGGCAAAACAGACAAGAAAAAGATGCACAAGCCCAAAAAGAACAAGTCTGTATATGCATCTTATGTGATCTGAATCAAGCTATATTTCTTTGAGCAAAATGTTCATTTTTGTGGGGAAATATTCACTAGAATAAAAGTAAGCAGATGACTACGAGAACTATTACAGGATATAATGGCTGTGGCTTAGTGTGTTAAATTCACTTATTAAAATGAAAATCTCTATGGGAAATAAGAACAAATAAAGGTGAATCTCAGCATGAGATTTTATTAAGAAAGGTAAAATTAAATAGCTAGTGATATAAAGTAATTAATCATCTTATGTTTTTTAAAAGGCTGTGGCACACTCTCATCGTGTTTCATTTCAAAGACTTTACATGGTAATCCTCAGTACCACTAACAATAGGTAAAAATTAGATTCAAACTGCTTTCAATAATTCTTGTTTATTTATTTATTTTTGAGACAGAGTCTCACTTTGTCACCCAGGCTGGAGTGCAGTGGCGTAATCTCAGATGACTGCAACCTCTGCCTCCATGGTTCAAGCGATTCTCCTGCCTCAGCCTCCAGAGTACCACCATGCCTGGCTAATATTTTCTATTTTTAGTAGAGATGGGTTTTACCATGTTAGCCAGGATGGTCTCAATCTCCTGGCCTCATGATCCACCCGCCTCAGCCTCCCAAAGTACTGGAATTAGAGGCATGAGCCACCAAGTCGGGCCTATTTTTTTAAAACAACATTTGAAAGTACAACACACAGAAAGCATAATAACCTTAAGGTGGCGTAAAAGCTAGGTGTTAGAATTTTTATTTCAACTACCAAGCCAAGTTGATATTTAGAGCAGGTTGATAACTGGCCTTGTATCAGAAAACAGAGAGTACCAAAGTACTGAATATTTCCATTATCCCTAGTTTGCTGCAAGATGTTACTTTTCATTTGATAGGGTCCAAAATCAAATTCACCTTAATTGATACAATGATTTTAAAGGATGTTAAAACCTGGGCTGTATTGTTTAAAAACAAAAGTTATAAAATGAGTGAAGAAAAAAAAAATAATGTTACTAGAATAATAGAGCAATGAGATCATGCTACCACTGCTCCATCTTCACAAATTTATAATTTTAAAAATCGGCCACTGTCTTGTTCTGAACCAGGTTTAGTTAATGAATACGTGGTAGTCATCATGGAGTCACAACCTGCATTTTATAGCTCAGGCTCTCCCATAGCCTTACTTGGAGAGTTAGGAGAGTCAAAGAGAGGGAGATAATTTGGACAAAGACAATGTGATCTAACAAAAGTCACCCTGACCTAAATCAGCAAACGGCAAATGCTTCATCATTCATTGTAGTTTTACCTCTTGAGGAAGTTCTAGTTTAGAACGGTCAGTTCCTTCTTTTGACTGAAGGCCCATCAGATAAGGAACAGGAGCATCAAGAAAATGTAGCAGAGAAGCAGGTAGGATGGGCACATAAACATGTTGCCATTGAAATGGGAACAAAAGTGTGGTGATTCCTTCTGCCACAGTCATCAGGCGTTGATAATCTGCACAGGAGAAAAAGGGAGGGAAAGAATAAAAATAAGAACATAACTTCATTAAGCTGGAAAATGTGGATTTTAAGAAAAAAAATCTGTGTTAAAAGTAAATTCTTCTTTGTGATAATGCAGAAAATAGGTCAGTTCTATTTCACTATAATTAAAGAATTAAATGGTTTCATTTGAATAGTTTTAAGGGGGTATGGGTAGGTGGGAAACATCATCACACTCTTTGCTTCTTAAAATCATAGGTATGTGAACTTATATTCTCTTAAAGTGTGGAGGAATCAAAGAACTAATAAAACTGCTCCTGGTATTTATCCCACTAAAAATGTACAAGATACAGTGTAACATTATTATTATTATTTTTGAGATGGAGTCTCACTTTGTTGCCCAGGCTGGAGTGCAATGGAGCAATCTCAGCTCACTTCAACCTCTGCATCTCAGGTTCAATTGATTCTCCTGCCTCAGCCTCCCAAGTAGCTGGGATTATAGGTGCCCACCACCACACAAGGCTAATTTATATATTTTTAGTGGAGACTGGGTTTCTCCATGTCGGCCTGGCTGATCTCTAACTCTTGACCTCAAGCAATCCACCCACCTCAGCCTCCGAAAGTGCTGGGATTACAGGTGTGAGCCAATGCGCCCGGCCAGTGTAACATTATTAATCACTTTTTTATACATGCATACTCACACAATCCACAATTCAGAGGCATTTTTCTTTATTTTGAGACAGAGTCTCCCCGTCACACAGTCTGGAATGCAGTGACACAATCTTGGCTCACAGCAACCTTCTGCAGAGGCTTTTTTCTTGTACAGTATATATGATCATGGCTATATGGTTAGCTGATTAAATTTATTTCAGCCTTTATTTTGGGAGTACAAGAAGCCAAACAGATACATGCATTCACAGTCACACTTCCTATGTCTAACCCTTAACCACAAAACTATCATATCTGGGTATTCTCAAGTTAACAGAAAATTAAGGATTGGTGTTTTTGTTTTGTTTACAAGAACTAAATAATTCATCAAATTTGAAAGCTGCCCACAATAAAGTGGACTTTTAAACCACGCTGTAAAGGCTACTTTATACTTACATATGTCTATAATTCCTATTTAAAGTTTGGAAGTAGACATGTTTTAGAATTCGGATTTTTTAATTTAGAAAAGCAATATGGTGCATATACCACATACATGAACTATCAAACCATACATGTCCCAGTAGGACAGATAATCAAAGGATATGAATAGGGTTGCTTTGGTTCAGGTTTGGTTTTGCTGATGAGTGAGTTACAAAAAGAATGTTTGGTTTTCAGAATTTTTTGGATTTCAGAATTGAAGACAATGGATTGTGGGCTTGTAATAATCCCTGGATAGAACCCATTGTGAACAAATACAGTAAAATCTTTGGGAGAAAGACTTTAGGGGAGTCTTTTTGATTCACATCAACTCAAAAAACACCTGACCAAGCATAAACAGGATGTCTTCCATTTAATTTTTTTTCTTGTGTCATTTTATAATTTTAAATGACCACCTTTTTGGTAACAAATCATCAGTTATCCACAGCCCAAGTTTACTTAAAATTTTCCTTGATTCATAAAGACTCAAATTTTAGGTAAAAACCTGTTTATAAGAATAACTTCTAAAACAAACACCAGGTGGCCTCAAAGGTAGGGGTCAGTCATATGAGCACAAAGAACTAACCTAATTACCTCAGGTGGACACACACATTTTATCAGCTGAGGCCCACAGAAGAAGCTAGGCTAAGATAGCTGGTTCTGTCTGTGTAGGTGAGGCAGGTAGTAGAGATCAGACAATCAGTTCCTACCACTCTGCTAGGATAATCAGGCAGATGTTTGAACTGCAGGCAATATGGGTTTGTATCCCAGGGGCGGGTGTGGGGTAAGGATGAAAAGCTGACCTGAAACCCCTGAAGTTTGCTGGATGTAGGTGTAGAAACTGTGCCCTAATCAGAACTAACTTAAGTACTGCACTATCACAGAACTCCGTTACGGCACGTGGCCCTAGTACTGTCTCTCCTCTCTGTGGGTTTCCTAAAGACTGAGTGGTGTCCATTTTCTCTGATTTTATCCACAGAAGCACAGGGCCTAATCACAGCCAGTGCTGACTAAAATTTACTGATACTACTTAATGTTACATTTTTTTTCCCCTCTTAAGTTCAACAGATCCTAACAAAATGCAAAAAAGGCAGGCCAGGTGCAATGGTTCATGCCTGTAATCCCAGCACTTTGAGAGGCCAAGGTGAGTGGATTACCTGAGGTCAGGAGCCTGGTCAACATGGTGAAACCCCATCTCTACTAAAACTACAAAAATTAGCTGGGCATGGTGGCAGGCACCTGTAATTCCAGCTACTCGGGAGACTGAGGCAGGAGAATCGCTTGAACTGGGAGGTGGAGGCTGAAGTAAGCCGAGATCACACCACTACACTCTAGCCTGGGCAAGAGAGCGAGACTCCGGCTCCAAAAAAAAAAAAAAAAAAGGTCAAGCACAGTGGTTCACACCACTAATCGCAGCACTTTGGGAGGCTGAGGTAGGCGAATCACCTGAGGCCAGGAGTTCAAGACCAGTCTGCCCATCATGGCAAAACCCTGTCTCTAGTAAAAATACAAAAATTAAGCACAGTGGCACATGCCTGTAATCCCATCTACTTGGGAGGCTGAGGCATAACAATCCATGGAACAGAGGGGGCAGAAGTTGCAATGAGCTGAGATCACACCACTGCACTCCAGGCCTGGGTAACAGAGCGAGACTCTGTTTCAAAAAACAAACAAAAAACCCAAAAACAAAAACCCACTAGGAGTAGGAAGAGATAGTTATTTATAGTTATATACTATGAAAACCAAATCCAGAGAAATCTCCTTAGATTCTACTCTGCAGCCATCCATTTCAACCAAGGATTGAGGCCTTTGTTATTCTTATAACTTCAGTATTTACCACAGTATCTGGCATATAAAAGAGGCAAAAATGATGAGACTGAATGAATAGATGAGAGGGATAAGAATGTATATAATTCTGCTAGATATCTATTACTTAAAAAGACATGCGCACATTTTATTCCACCCATATGCTGTGGGTGTTCTATGCCTATTCTCTAGTTCTGCATTATCTTCAAGATTGGTTGAAGTACCACATACTTTTTTTTTTTTTGAGATGGAGTTTTCACTCTTGTTGCTCAGGCTGGAGTGCAATGACATGATCTTGGCTCACTACAACCTCCACCTCCTGGGTTCAAGCGATTCTCCTGCCTCACTCAGCCTCCTGAGTACCTGGGATTAGAGGCACACGCCACCATACCTGGTTAATTTTTTTTTTTTTTTAGTAGAGATGGGGTTCCACCATGTTGGCCAGGCTGGTCTCAAACTCCTAACCTCAGGTGATCTGTGCATCTCAGCCTGCCGAAGTGGTGAGATTACAGGTGTGAGCCACCACGCCCAGCCCACACACTTTTTAATAATGCAATTACTCAGCAGAAACAAGACAATTCTTTTTAACTGAATCAAGAAATAAAAGGCAGAGTTTTCTTCTTTTAGCATTTTTTTAAACTGAAATATTTTAGGAAAGTCTTTTTATAATTGATACTCAAAGTGATGAATGTATAAGCTATTTTAATATTTAAGACAGTCCTCAGTTCAGCATGGCACATGAGGCTCTTCATGATTTGGCCCCTGTCTGCCTCATTCCTTACCACCACTCCATATGCAGTAAGACCATCTGCTTGCAGTCCATGTTTTCACAGGCCCTGTGCCCCTTGTATATCCTCTTCCTCTGCCCAGAATGTCCCTTCCTCTTGTACTGCCTGGGTAGGTTCCACTTTTTCCTCAGGCAATTGCTCTTTTGGAAAGCCTTCCCTAGCACTTCTTAGCACCAGAGTACTATCTACATGCTTCAACAGTACCCTATCTTTATTTCCATCACAGGAATTATTCATCTCACTAAAATGATTACAATTCTATCATAATTCTCTCTTTAGGGTCTCTCTTCCCTAATATAGCATCATCTCCTACAGAGCAGTATCTGAAATTTTTAATTTATTTTTGGAGACAGAGTCTCATTCTTTCATCCAGGCTGGAGTGCAGTGGTGAGATCTAGGCCCACTGCAGCCTCTGCCTCCCAGATTCAAGTGATTCTCGTACCTCAGACTCCTGAATAGCTCGGATTACAGCCATGCACCACCATGTTTGGCTAATTTTTTGTGCTTTTTTTTTTTTTTTGTAGAAATGGGGTTTCACCATGTTGGCCAGGCTGGTCTTGAACTCCTGACTTCAAGTGATCTGCCTGCCTCAGCCTCCCAAAGTGCTGGGATTATAAGCATGAGCCACTGCACCTGGACATATCTGTATTTTTAATCTCAGAATTGTTAACATTCAACATATCACCTAATACATGGTGAGTAGCCAGTAAATGTGCTTTGATAAATTAATGTTAACATCTAAGGCAGGTAAAATGAAATAAAATTATATATTAAAAAATTATGCTTGACTATGTTATACAATAAAAACATACTGTCAAAAATTTGCTAAGTAGTGGCTCTGGTACAGATCCCAAGGTGGCAATGGCCTCTGCTGCCTCAGTCCCTGTCATGCTGTTCACTAGCAGCACTGTGGAGAGTAAGGTCAGCTCCTCAAGGGCAGCAGAGGGGTCTGGGTCTGGAGCTGTGCTGGCAGCACAGGAACCATGGTGGTGCAGACCAGGAGCTGTGTCTAGCAAGGTTTATGCATTGCCAAGCACTACCATTGAAGATGTGAAGCTGGTGGTATCCACTATGTCTCTGGTGGACTTACTGATGCAGCTGGAGGATTATACACTTATGATCCTGGATGCTATGACTGATTTTTTATTTTTATTTTTGAGAGGGAATCTCGCTCTGTTGCCTAGGCTAGAGTGCAGTGGCATGAACTTGGCTTACTGCAACCTCTGCCTCCTGGGTTTAAGTGGTTCTCCTGCCTCAGCCTCCCCAGCAGCTGGGATTACAGGCACATACTATCACA